AAGACAATCTATTGGCCTGAATAATTCTATCAAATAAAGGCTCACTTTCTCTCCCTCTCTCATTTCAGCTGGATTTCCAAGGATGGTAGTATCTGAATAATAATTAATAGACACTGAGCTGTTAAATATGACACGGTTTCAAGCACTTTGCATGGATTCTCATTTAATCTTCCCAGCACCCAATGAGGTAGGTATTATAATCACCTGGTTTTACAAATGAGGAAACTAGGGCACAGAGAGGTTAATAGGTAGAAAGTGGCAGAACTGAGAATTGAACCCAAATCCTTTGTGCTTAACTATTACACAGACTTCCTCTGAAGATGTTAATAGGTGAATAGATGAAGAGGATAAGGAGAGTTGCAAATAATAAAGTATTATGAAAAGTTTTACTTCTAATGTTATTAATGAGTTCAACACAAAATTGTGGGTTCATTTCTCTTTGCACCCATAGCATCTAACTAGTAGGCACACAGAAAGCAACTAATCAATGTTTGACAAAGGAATGGACTCATCACTAGGAATTTCCTTTACCCTCTGTCTTCTCCAACATTGCTTACTTATTTTATCTTTTTCATTTGTGAGCTACCCACCTCGCCCGAAAGTATTAGTCAGTAAACTTACACACATAGTTGTTTCATTTTTCAAAACAAAATTAAGAGAACTAAATAGTAAGGGTCTTCACAGAAAAAAATCAGAGAGAATTTTCTGACACTAGTGGTTTCCAGGGTAAACAAAATAGTCCACCTTCTCTGGCGCCCCCTTGTGCTCTGCGGTGGAAAGTAATTAAGAGTGCTGATGCTTCCAGGAAACCGAATCTGGATTTATTTTCAGATTGCACACACACACACACACACACACACACACATTCTTACAGATTAAACTTTTGTTTTCCCTCTCTGCATGTTACTCTAATCAGTGCTTGTGTCAGGAATTATAAAAAGTTCTGTCACCTGGGTTTCCCCAGTCCCACTACCAGCCGTGGGCAAACTATGGCCCGCGGGCCAGATCCGGCCCGTTTGAAATGAATAAAACTAAAAAAAAAAAGACCGTACCCTTTTATGTAATGATGTTTACTTTGAATTTATATTAGTTCACACAAACACTCCATCCATGCTTTTGTTCTGGCCCTCCCGGTCCAGTTTAAGAACCCATTGTGGCCCTCGAGTCAAAAAGTTTGCCCACCTCTGCGCTAGGCTGTAATGAACCTTACCAGTTTGAATTTCCTTCCACTTCTGTTCCTAGAAACTCACACAACTTATAAAACACACTTAGGTGTTTTGGGGAAGTATGTGTCACATGTGTAATCTGGCAAAACTGCTCTCGTTGAGATCTCTCTCTCTCTCTCTCTCTCTCTCTCTCTCTCTCTCCAAGACTCTGAATTCCTTGAGAAATTAAAGCAGCAGCTTCTCTGGAAAGAAGAAAACGTAAGCATTCACTTTTCCTTTACTTAAAAGGGCCCTTGTTCTTCAATGTCTTGCAGAGCTTTCTGCTTGTTCACAAGAAATGGCCCGTTAGCTTCCCAGTTCTCCCTGTGCACTATCGGGCTCTTTCACATGGCCACTGGGCAGGAACACAGGCTCAGGATGTGAAAGCAAGTGTCAGATCCCACGTTGGCTTGAGTCAGGTGTCCTGCCCCGGCCGCTGGACAAACAGGCTCAGGTGTTTCAGATTCTTAGACGTAAGCTGGAACCTGTACTATGTTTCCATGAAACTGAGTGATTAGTGATAATATTAAAATTATTAACAGTAGTGGCTGACTTTCATTTCATGCTCAGTAGGAACTAAAGACATTGCTGAGTGCTTTACATGCAGCACTTTGCTTAATTTTTACAAGTTTCCTAAGAAGTCAGTAATGTTATAATCCTCACTTTACAGGTAAGGAAACGGAGGTTTAAAGAGGTGACATGCTTTGAGAAACACGGCAGCTTTGAAAGAATCTGTTTGGTGTAGTTCTCTGAGCCAGAAGACTGTCGTTCCAGGGCTGATTCTGCCACTTTCTAACTGGGTGACTTTTGGTGAGCTGCTTAACCTCTCTGTGTCTCAGTTTCCTTATCAGTAATAAAAATAATTCCTGCTTCATAAGGAAGTTGCAGGCGTTAAACAACTGAATCCTTACAAAGTGATTAATGGTACTAAGGGTTATATAAGTGCTTCTAAAACAGAAAGAAGAGAAGCTCAGGATGCGGCAGGTCACTATACAGTTTCCCCGAGGCGAAGACCATGTTTATCTCCTTATGAATATTATCAGGAAATGGATCCTAATAACATGTCCTGCATTGGTGAATTTCTCCTGTTTGCGGCAGAATCACCTGAAGAGCTTTAAAAACCACTGATCCTGATTCAGTAGGACCAGGGCAAGGCCCCGTCATCTTTATTTTTCTAAAGCTTCAAGAGATGCCCATGGGGAGCCAGATTTACAAGTCACTGCCATAGTACTTACATACCTACCAAGTTATTTTCCATAACAAGATAATATTTATTCCATGCTTACTACATACTAGATCTGAGTGCTTTCATTTAGATCATCTCATTTAACCCTCCAACAAAAACGTCATGATTTAGGTAATAATTATCAGTCATACTTTACAGATGGGAAAACCAAGGAACAGAAAGTTTAAGGAAGTTGCTCAAAGTCACTTACTTAGCTAGCTGGTGACGGAGTGAGGATTTTAAACCAGGTGGAATGGTGCCATGGCCTATATACTTAACTACCAACCTATATGGCCTTCACATTTGGTATTTAATTTGAGCTGTACCATAAATCTGTGCAGTATGCTGGTGTTGCCATTATCCCCAATGTATAGATGAGGAGACTAAAATTAAAAACTTGACCCAATGTACAGTAGTCAATGTAGCAGCTGGGGCTTATACCTGGGTCTTATCATTTGAAGTTCTATGCTCTTCCCATATTGTTGCAGAGAACTTCAAGTAACCAAGTATGATAGTTATTTTATAAGGTCTCTCATATGCATTACCTCTTCCTCTCTCCTGCTTTGGCCCATGCCTTCATCCTATAGGTTACTCTGACAAGAGCTTCAACCAAAAGCCTTCTTCCATTTTTACCTGCTCTCTGCATACTACTTCTAGCTCCATCTCCACCCACTAAATCACTAAATGTAGCTCACCAAGCAACCCTTTTGTTTAGAATTTGATTAACATTTGTATTATTTGTCATCTGTAGTAGGTTGAATAGTGTCACCCCAATTATATATATATATATTCCTAACCTCAAGAACTTGTGAATGTAACCTTGTGTGGGAAAAAGGTTTTTTTTGATGTAATTAAGCTAAAGATCTTCAGATTAGATCATGCTGAATTATATGGGCAGGCCCTAAATCCAATGACAAGTATTCTTTCTTTCTTTTTCTTTCTTTTTTTTTTTTTAGTTTGTTATAGATGTGTTTTTTAAAAAATATATTTTATTGATTTTTTTACAGAGAGGAAGGGAGAAGGATAGAGATTTAGAAACATCAATGAGAGAGAAACATCGATCAGCTGCCTCCTATACACCTCCTACTGGGGATGAGCCCGCAACCAAGATACATGCCCTTGACCGGAATCAAACCTGGGAACTTTCAGTCCTCAGGCTGACGCTGTATCCACTGAGCCAAACTGGTTAGGGCATGCATGACAAGTATCCTTATAAGAGAAAAGAGAAAAGACACAGACACACAGAAGAGAAGACCATTTGAAGACAGAGGCAGAGATTGGAGTCTTGCAGCCACAACCAGGGAACACCTGGAGCCTCCAGAAGCTGAAAGAAGTGAAAAATTCTCTCCTAAGCCTCCAGAGGGAGCATGGCCCCCCAACACCTTGATTTCAGACTTCTGGCCTCCAGACCTGTGAGGGAAGGAGTTCCCGTTGTTGTAAGCTGCCTAGTTTGTAGTAATTTGTTATGGCAGCCCAAGGACACAAATACACCATTTCTACACCTCTTCTTGACTTCAGAGATCATGCCATGTGTGGTTTCCCTGCTCATCCGGCCCTCTGTCTTGAATAAACCCTCTGCCCTACCTGGTGCTCCTTCACTGTCTTCTGCATGGGACCCTCATGTCCTTTATGTACCTTCCCTCACGTTGGAAAGAAGACATGCCACCTTAGCAGACTTCCGCTCAGCAGGGAACTGTCCTTTGAGGTGGCATGATACGGGAAAGATGAGCTCTGAAGGACAGGGGGGTGCTGTGGGCAGGGCACTTTGCCCATGAGTTACTGGCCATGTTTTCTCCTTCCCTTATTTTTTAAAACCCTTTGCTATGTTGTCTCCATTAAAGAACATGCCTGAGACTTAACGAGTCATACCGCATCCTTGAGCATCATTTGTCCCGTAAGGATGTTTGACAAGGTGACCCCTTACTCTCCTTCTAGGTCTCATATATAAGGTATAGACTATAGAGAAATTCTTTCATGCAAAGGAATTTTTTGAGCACCTATTAAGTGCTAAACACTGTCCCAAGAGCTGGGGTTACAGCAATGAGATAGATGTGGTGTCTTACCTCCCAGAGCAAGGTTTTTCCAGGCTGATGATTACTGTGGTCTGGATCACCAGGAGTCCCAAAGGGGAGAGGTGAGGAGCGTGTGAATGCAGAGGAATAGTGACACCCGAGAAAGGCAAGGAATAGCTTTGTTTTATTCTTCTTTGGGGTAGTTGGGTGGGAAGGTTTACATTTTGACATGGGTGAATTTGAGATGAAAATGCCCGATGCCCAACTGAAATTACAGGTTTTAGAAAGGGACCAGAGAAAGTCAAGTCTATTGGCTGAGACCTCAAATATAGGTAAGGTCAGCCCAGGGGGTGAAGAAGAACGCAGGGGAGCGGGCCCTGGAGGTGTCAGGGCCTCATCCCTTGCCCCTGTGCAGCGCACGTGCTCTCACGCCCATTCGACCAGCATCCAGGCTGCAGTGAGAACTTTGCATTTCCCCCCAAGTCCCGCCCTTGTAGGCGGGGCGAGGGCGCCACGCAGCGGAGTCACCAGGAAGAAGAAGCCGGGTAGGCATGGGCGTGGCCGCCGCCGACCCCCACGGCGGATCTGGGAGGGGCGCCCACAGTCGGGGGCGAGGGGACGCGGAACCCCGGGAAGGAGGGATGCCCGGATGCAACTGCCAACAGCGCTGAGCGCGGGGGCAGTGGCTGCGGTTGCGGCGCTGGTGGCCGCTCTGCTCCTGCTACGATGCCAGGACGCGGGGCCGGGGGCCGGCTCCAGGTAACCCACTGCTCTGGGGACGGAGCTGGGCCCCGCACCCTGTTGCGGAGGAAGGAGGGATCCGAACCAGGGGTAACAAGGGGGGACGGGGCCTCTTGGTGCCAGCAGTTTGTGGGCCCTTCCGAGCGGTGGGTTGGCACCCCGCCCTGCAGGTGACTCAGCACTTTCCCCAGGGCCCAGACCGCGGGAAATAATACTGTCTTCCTCCAGAACGAACACACATTCCTTGTTCCCCAGGGTGAGCCAGACCATCTCTTACACACCCTAAGATCCGCACCTGTTGATGTTATTTCTGTAGCATGGCTGCGACAGAGGCGCTGCCCAAGCTTCGGGAAGACTTCCGGATGCAGAATAAATCCGTCTTTATTTTGGGCGCCACCGGGGAAACAGGCAAAGTGCTCTTAAAGGAATTGCTGGAGCAGCGCCTGTTTTCCAGGGTCACAGTCATTGGCCGGAGGAAGCTGACCTTTGATGAGGAAGCTTATAAAAATGTGGTGGGTATTTGAGACTCAAAATGCACCCGCAGTGATTCAGCTTTGTGGACAGAATTTCGTGTTTAATTTAAGGTTGAACATTGCCCGTCAGTGGTGGGCGCTGCAAGAGGTGATCAAAATGTGGCCAAGGTCGGCCTGTGAGAGCCCAGTTGCTGGAAGCTGGAGGCCTGGGTTGTAAGTTCAGGCGGGCCTCCCCTCACTGTGTAGCCTTGGGCAAAGTCCTCGCAGTCTAAGGCAAGGCCTAGATTGCAGTGGGAGCTGGGGAGACAGAACAGCATTGCTTTCAGCGTCATTCAATCTGAGTTCTAGAGACAGTCCACTTCGCTTGTTTTGTCTCCCTGTTCACTCCACACTAACCTTGTCAGTGAATCAGGAAATGCTTTGCACAGCAGAAACAGCCTCTGGCATTGAAAGTAGGGCTCACATATAAGAATTTGCCCAGCCTGACTTCCCAGGGCTGCAGTGTTGTGTCTATAAGTGAAATATTCCTTCCTCTCACTATCACTTACACTTTCATGGTTAACCAAACAACACACCAGACTTGAGTGTGGTGTAAACACCCTAAATATTTGAAGTCTGAGCTTCGTGGAGAGTCCTGAGTTATTTGTGAAACTCAGTAAATTATAGTGTAATCCTGAGACCCCCTAATAAAAGAACTTGGTCCCACAGGTTTCACAGGTGGAACATTTTGGATAACAAATGGTCTCACAAATAAATGTTCTTGACTCCTGCAAGTCCAAGTTGAGGTCATTTTGCATATGTCTTTGGTCCCTCAGGACTTTTCTGTTTAAAATGGACATCTTTGCAGGCAGTAACACGTAGCCTTCCTAGTCTGGCTTCATGGGGTGTGCCCGATACTTCTGGTAATTAGAGACTGAAATCGAGTCTGTGCTTTGATAGTCTAGTTTTGGTGGCGCATCTTTTGGTCAGGCACTTAATGCAAACATGTTCCTTCAGCGCTGTGTACAGTGCCAGGAACATCCTTTTGAAAGAGGCGATGGTAGGGAAGGAAAGCATTTGAGTTCCAATTTGATGGATGAAAACTTCTCAAACTTTCTCTTTTAAGTTTCACAACAAACTTAGGTTAGATGGTGGTGCTTAAGTTTTAGTGAACATGAGAATTTCTAAGAGTGCTAGTTAAAAAAGAGCAGTTTCTGACTCAGAAGTATTGGTGTGAGACCTAAGAATATGCCCTTTTATCAAGCCACCCACTGGCTGATTTTAGTGCAGGTGGTTCATGGACTGGGCTGAAAGAAAGATTATAATTTGCATTTTACTCCTTAAAAACTGAGGCATATGATAAAAATAAATTGGCCAAAATTACATGTTTAGGAAGTAGCAGGCCCAAGACTCCAATGTAGGTATTTGAGGTTCCAAACACCATCCTTAACCCACATTATACCTCATTGCATTGGTATCCCTCTTGGTAATATGCAGACAGGTGTCTTATTTTTCCAAAGAGAAAATTATAATTGAACCTGACTTTAGAGATCTGGATCACCCCTAGTCCAATTATGTGTACCAGGGCTGTATTAGTGCATTGTTGATTTGAAATTCAGATTAATTGGTGGGAGAAAATGAGCTTGCAAAATTTGATGTTAAGTGGTCAGACTCTTCACTAATGCTCTGTACTTTATTCTTTAAATGTAGAGGGCTATTTAAAAAAATGACATCAAGTTCTATTCAGCTGTGTTCTTGTCTAGAATCAAAAAGTGGTGGACTTTGAAAAGCTGGACGACTATGCTTCTGCCTTCCAAGGTCATGATGTTGGATTCTGTTGCCTGGGTACCACCAGAAAAAAAGCCGGGGCGGTAAGGAAGAAATATATCCGTATCCCTGTTCATTGGCCAGTACTGTCAAAGATTCTTTTCTTACTTACTCTTTTTCTTTACATTTGCAGTGCTTAATTGTAAATAAGCTCTTATCATTGAAAATTTCATATACTGCCCTCACCTTTGCTGTGCTTTGAATAGCAGTGATAAGTTCATCTTTCCTTCAAAGTAATCCTTGAGTTCAGGCCTGTGTGCGTATTTACATCATCTTGCAAATATTGCTGTCATTACATCCCCTGGCTAAACTCGTTATAGCAGAATAAAAGTAACTAGCTCATGCTATTAGAAGTAAGCTTTTTTAATTTTTCTTTATAAATATTTTAAACTTAAAGCATTCTCTCTCACTTGAGTGATTTTCTTCAACCTATTTTTGTGCCAAGCTTTAAACTTCTGGGATAGGACATCAGAACAGAGGCACGATTCAGCTAGCCTCCAGTGATGACTCAGCCCCAGCAATGATTCAACCCCAGCGGTGATTCAGCCTTAACTGACTCAGAACTGTTCCAGCACATTTTATTTTATTTTTAATAGTGCTCTAAATTGCATTGCCCTTATCTAGAAGTCATAGTTTACTACATAGTTAGAAGTCATAGCTTACTGCGTAGATCTTGAGAAAGTGTTAATACATCTTACTTATACTTTGTCCCTCTCGCAGAATTTACTTGCTGGAGCTAAACATGTCCATTAAATATGCATGACCACAGTGCCGCCATGGGGCTTATTGTGGGTTTATAAACAGGTCCATGCATCAGAATCATTAGGAGAACACATGTTTAAGAACTATTGGTAGCAGCACAATTTACCATAGCTAAGATTTACCATAGCCTAAGTGCCCATCAGCAGATGAGTGGATTAAAAAACTGTGGTACATCTACACAATGGAATACTATGCTGTGGTAAAAAAGAAGGAATTCTTACCATTTGCAACAGCATGGATGGAACTGGAGAGCATTATGCTAAGGGAAATAAGCCAGTCAGAGAAAGATAAATATCATATGATCTCACTCATTTGTAGAATATAATGAACAACATAAACTGATGAACAAAAATAGATCTAGAGACAGAGAAGCATCGATCAGACCATCAAACCTCAGAGGGAAGGCAGGGGAGGGTGAGGTTAAGGGAGAGAGATCAACCAAAGGACTTGTATGCATGCAAATAAGCCTAACCAATGGACACCGACACCAGGGGGGTGAGAGCATGGGGAGGGGGGAGGGCAATAAGGGGATAAGGACACATATGTAATACCTTAATCAATAAAGAAAAAAATAAAGATAAAGAACTATTGGTGTATATCAACTAAGGAGTTAGTCTCAGTTGTATTTCTCTGGGCCTCCTGGTGATCTAAAGAATAATTCCATGTATGCTTTCAGTAGGGATCTGTTTCCAAATCTTCTGCAGTTCTACCATGTCCACTTTGGAAGACAGCTGGGTTCTGAGCTCTGTGCTGAGAAGCGTCCCAGGATTTGGCACATTCTTTCTCCTAGAAAGGGTCATGTTCCTGCTTGGTGGCTTGTGCAGTCTTCATTGTCCCAGGGATACTCACAAGCGGTGTGTCCTCTAAAAGCATTCAAAAAGTTTTGTTCTGTCTGAATTGCCAACCTGATTTTGGTGGTGACTCAGCAAAAATAACAGAAAACAAAACACTGCATTAGGCATAGAGCAGCTGATTTTCATGACATAAGGCAAATCTCATAGGGAAAGAAGAAATTGCTTTATTGCATCCAAATTGTTTAATGCAATTTTAATCAGAGGCATTGGGTGTCTTTCCTATTTAGAACATTTTTTTAGATGGATTTGGTTTCCCACTTCTCAGGCTGCTCAATATCTTTTCTTTTCCAAAATCTGTTTGAAAAGAAAAGACAAACATAATGAATAAGTAAGCAGGAGAAAGACTACTAAGGCAAAGATGATCTCAGAAATGAGTTAGGGCTAAATGGTTTAAGGTGATAGTGACCAAAAGTAAGCTGCCAATTTTTAATCCAAGGGTTTGTAAACTACATACTGTGGGCCAAATACAGCCCTTGTTTTGTACAGCCCCGATCTGAGAATGCTTTTATACTTTTAAATGATTAAAAAATTCAAAAGAGGAATAATATGTTGTGGCACCTGAAAATATAAGAAATTCAAATTTCAGTATCCATAAAGTTTTATTGGAACATAGCTATTCTCTTTACTTTATTATCTATGGCTGCTTTTGCACCATGGTGTCAGAGCCATGTAATTGCAACAGAAGCCTGCAAATCTGAAAATATTTACCATTCCATCTTTTACAGGAAAAGATTGCCCACCCCTATTGTAATTTCTATTGTTTTATTTGATGTCTAGGAGGGGACATGTGAAGTGACAAGGTCCTAGGTGGTTTGAGGGACCCAGATCATAGGCTCTGGATACTAGGTAGCTGTGGGACTTCAGGTGTGTGCTTAGCTCCTGTGGACCGCTGCCTCCTTGTCTGTACTGAGAGTCAGGTGACCACTAAAGCCCGTTTGGCCTGCAGAATTCTTTGATTTTTATAACACAGAGAATAGAAATTCCCAGCTGGGAAAATTCTGTGAGAGTATAGAGATTTACTCATGAATCCTCAGTACCTGTTTGGCTTTATTTTTCTACCCAGAGCTCTTCCTCTAACCAAGATCTTGATTCCACCACTGCACATCAAATACAGAGGTGCCCTCCAGGATACAAACAGCTGGGGTGTCAGATGATAGCATTTGTTGTTCATCAGCATCTCTGTTTTCTAGTCTGATCGATAGGGTTGGAGTAAAGGGGAAAGAATCTGAAGCAAAAATATGGCTAAGTGGAACCCTTTACAGAACGATAGATCTGCCCTTCTTGGAAAAGGATCCCCCTGACCTTGAGTCATTTTGGCATGCTTGCTGGTTTCATCAGTCAATGCTGAAATACTCTGTTTTAGGGAGAGTTGTTCTTAAGCCAGTGTTCCCAGTTTTCAGGCATTGGTAAAGAAGACTAGAAATACTTAGTAGCTTTGGATTTTAATAAGATTTGAATAAATAGTAATTGGAGAGTTTGTCTCCCTTGATGTTTGTGGAGCCTGTGAAGATACCTCTGCTGAGTCGTTTTACATTGTGTTTATTCTTTCAAGTGGGTACTGGGAAAGGAAATGTAGAGTGGGAACATATTTGATCAATTCCTTTTTCTAGAAGGAACTCTGATTTCTAGCTTAGAGTGGCCTACACTGACTTTGGAATCATAAAGACACAGTAGCATAATGGACTTCATGCTCTCAGAAGAGACGTCTTTTCTCCTGCCCTATGGTTAGGGAAACTAAATACAGTTTTTCCAGAAATTGTGTTTCTGGGATATGGAATAGCTTGTTTTACTTCTCTTTTCTTTTTTTTTCTTTTTTTGCGCCATTAGAGAATAAGAAAAGGTGTTAGTAAGATTTTAAAGATGGCTCCTTTCTATCTATCAATGGAATCTTCCTCACTCCAAAGAAATTGATGTGTGCGGATGTCTCTGAGTCAGTTGGCAGAATCCACGTTTACGTTTGGTTTCTAAGTCCTTGAAAGCCATTGACCCTGTTGCTTTTGAATTTCATTCACCAGCTAAAAAGGCACGCATCAGGGTGGGGGAAGTGAAATTCAAAATTTGTGGGCCTGGAAAAATGCGTATTTATAATCAGCTTGAGGGCTCAGAGGATTTGTGAAATCGGTTTGGATTAACAGCCATTGGTTGCTAATAAAACAATATTTAGCTTTGTCTGGAGAACAGCGATGGAGAAAGGTATGGGCACCTTGTCAAGCGGGCCCATTGAGCAGGGATGATGGGTTAAGCGTGGGGGTCTCCGAAGCAGCGTGGGTGCTCCTCCTTCAAGGAGCGGTTGTCAGTTGTTAGCGAGGCCGGTGAAAGGAAGGACGCCAGAGTCTGATGGCTGGGGTGGTATTGATGTGCCTGAGCTGACTAATCAGATTGAAAAAGTCCCATGGTATTTATGTCACTTTAATTTTCATCAAACAATTGGAGCCGACAGCACTCTATTAAGGAGAGGTTGATCCAGAACTAAAGCCAAATAAATTAGGGTCTCAATTTAATCAAATTATCCCTTTACTGGCTGTGGATTAAGTGAGAGAGACAGCGTCGGTCTAGAGACTGGTGATTGGCTGAATCTTTCCCTTCTTTTTAAAGAAGCTGATGAAAGAAAAGCATTTTAACAGAGACAACTATAATGCACCTTCCAAGAAATAGTGATAAAACCACAGCCACAACAAAAAGAAACTTATTTCACCAGTCAACTATGTCATTTTACTATGAACAACGAACCTGTTATTAAAATCAGAGTTCTGGTGAATTACAGTGAGGGGAAGAAATAGACCTGGAAGAGAAAGTGAGTGTTTTAGAATTTTTCTATGTAGTTTTGGACTGTTTTTCTCATTTTGGAGGATGGCTCGGAGGAGAATCACATCCCTCTCTCAGGATGTGCTGAGAATTAAAATTGGGTTGCTTCACACTGATTTAAGAAAGCAATAACCTACGTTCAAATCAGTATGTAGGACAGGGCTTCAAGTCAGGGTAGAATGTCCAAGTATAGATACAAAAAGAGATGGTGTTCATTCATTAGTTAAGACTTAAGTTTATGTTCCCTAAAGTAAGGCAGAAAAATGAGGCTGTTGTGCTGGGAACAATGAGAAAGGAGGACAAGAGAGGCTTTTGGGGTGATAGTAAGGTTTTATTTCTTTTCTTTAAATATATATTATTGATTTTTAGAGAGAGGAAAGTAGAGGGAGAGATAGAAACATTGATGAGAGAGAAATATCCCATCAACATTAATCAGCTGCCTTCTGCACGCCCCTTGCTGGGGATCGAGCCCACAACCCAAGCATGTGCCCTGACTAGAAATCGAAGTAGAGAGAGACCTCTTGGGGCATGGTATATGCTCAACTGCTGAGCCACACCAGCCGGGCTCTATTTCTTGATTTTAGGAGCTGGTTACAGAGTAATGCTCAGTTTATGAAAATTCATCAAGCTCTATACTTACAATATGTTTACTTTTCTTTTATGGTTTACTTCAGTACAAAGTTAAAAATGTTTGCTTGGGGCTATTGTTTTCAAATTGAATTCTGTATTAGTTTCCTTCCTTTTTTTCAGTTTTTTTTTTTTAATTTCAAGAAAAACGATCTTAAATATAATAATGTTACATGCAGTAAACCTTAATATTTCAAGAAAAATGATCTTTTTAACACTTTTTAAAAAATATATATTTTATTAATTTTTTACAGAGAGGAAGGGAGAGGGATAGAGAGTTAGAAACATTGCCCTGACCGGTTTGGCTCAGTGGATAGACTAGAGCTTCGGCCTGCGGACTCAGGGGTCCCAGGTTCGATTCCGGTAAAGGGCAGGTACCTTGGTTGCGGGCATATACCCAGTGGGGAGTGTGCAGGAAGCAGCTGATTGATGTTTCTCTCTCATTGATGATTCTGACTCTCTATCCCTCTCCCTTCCTCCCTGTAAAGAATCAATAAAATATATTTAAAAAAAAAAAAGAAACATCGATGAGAGAGAAACATCTATCAGCTGCCTCCTGCACACTCCTCACTGGGGATGTGCCTGCAACCAAGGTACATGCCCTTGACCGGAATCAAACCCAGGACCCTTCAGTCCGCAGGCCAATGCTCTATCCACTGAGCCAAACCGGTTAGGGCAAGAAAAACAATCTTAAATATAATAATGTTACATGCAATAAACATTAATATCTCAAAAAACAATTTTAAATATGATAATGTTACATGCAATAAACATTAATATTTCAAGAATAAAAGGATTTTAAGTATAATAATATTACCCAAACTGTACTAACATAGTCTGATATCACAAAAGTTCTAGGAAATATTAAAAATCTGCAAATAACAGGATTGCTTCTATTATATTCTAGAATATTTTTTTTCTCCCTCTGGCTCTATTTTTGTTCATCAGTTTATGTTGTTCATTATATTTCACAAATGAGTGAGATCATATGATATTTATCTTTCTCTGACTGGCTTATTTTGCTTAGCATAATGCTCTCCAGTTTCATTCATGCTGTTGCAAATATTAAGAGTTCCTTCTGCCGAAACCGGTTTGGCTCAGTGGATGGAGCATCAGCCTGCGGACTGAAGGGTCCCAGGTTCGATTCCGGTCAAGGGCATGTACCTGGGTTGCGGGCACATCCCCGGTGGGGGATGTGCAGGAGGCGGCTGATCGATGTTTCTCTCTCATCGATGTTTCTGACTCTCTATCTCTCTCCCTTCCTCTCTGTAAAAAATCAATAAAATATATTTAAAAAAAAAAAAAAAAGAGTTCCTTCTGCAGCATAGTATTCCATTGTGTAGATGTACCACAGTTTTCTAATCCACTCATCTGCTGATGGGCACTTAGGCTGTTTCCAAATCTTAGCTATGGTAAATTGTGCTGCTATGAATATAGGGGTGCATATATCCTTTCTGATTGGTGTTTCTGATTTCTTGGGATATATTCCTAGAAGTGGGATCAGTGGGCCAAATGGGAGTTCCATTTTTAATTTTTTGAGGATAATTTCCTTCCTTTTTCTAAAAAAAAAATCTTTATTGTTGAGAGTCTTACAGATGCTCCCCCTCCCTCAACCCCCCCCCCCTTGCTTTCCTCCACCCAGTTCCTGCCCTGCCCCAGGTATTAGTTTTCCACAGCTGATGTAACAAATTACCTCAAATTTAGTGGCTTAAAACAATGTAAATGTTTTGTCTTACAGTTCTGTAAGTTAGAAGTCCGGCATGAACTTAGCTGAGATAAAATGAAGGTGTTGAGAGGGCTCTAGAGGAGAATCCGTTTCTTTACCTTTACCAGTTTCTCTTGGCCACCGGCATTCTTTGGTTCATGGTCCCCTCTTTCCATCTTTAAGGCCAGCTGTGGGAAATCAAGTGCTTCTCACATTGAATAACTCAAACCCCTTCTGCTTTCCTTTTCTACTTCTAAGGACTCTTGTTATTGCATTGGGCCCAGTTGGATAATACGGAATAATCTTAATTTTAGGCCAGCTGATTGATTAGTAACCTTAATTCTACCTATAATCTCAATTTCCCCTTTTACTCTTAAATTTTTTTTTCAATTACAGTTGACATACAATATTATGTTAGTTTGAGGTATACACCATAGTGATTAGACATTTACATAACTTATGAAGTGATTACTTTGATATGTCTAGCACCCATCTGACATCATACATTGTTTAATACTATTGACTACATTCTCTATGCTATACTTTACATCCCATGACTGTTTTTATATCTGGCAACTAGTATATGTTAATCCCTTCAACTTTTTCACCCATCCCTCCCCCCATCCCCTCTCTCCATTTTCGCAGTCATCTGTATCTTGCTGTGGAAACTAGCATACTCACAGGTGTGGGGATTAGGGCTCAGACATCTCGGAGGGGCCACTGGTCTGCCTACTGAAAGCATGAATTAGTCATTTTTGTTCTCTGGAGATAGTGTGGGAGAAGAAGGCACATGGGTATAGTAGAGAGCACTGCTCAGGGAGTCCACAATTTGCACTCCACTCTCAGCTATCTCACTTATTAGCGAGCAGTTCATCAGACCACTGAGCCTTGTTTTCACAGCTCTATAAAGGGGGGGCGGGGGGGGCAGTGGGATGTGATGTTTCCTCAGGTGGTGTTTCTAACATCTCCATATGAAATAAAATGTTTAGAATCAGCCCTAGCTGGTTTGGCTCCATGGATAGAGCATCAGCCTACAAACTGAAGGGTCCAGGGTTCGATTTCGGTCAAGACACATGCCCAGGTTGTGGGCTCGATCCCCAGTAGGGGGTGTGCAGAAGGCAGCTAATCAATGATTCCCTCTCATCATTGATGTTTCTATCTCTCTCTCCCTCTCCCTTCCTCTCCAAAAACAATAAAAATATATTTTAAAAAATCACTGGGGGCAGCAGTCAGCCTTCAGATTTACAATCCTGATGACATAAAACCTCATTTACATAATTGTGGGTACCTCTGGAGTTCCGATTCAGGAGACCTTAGACTTCTCATCAGCTGTCTGAGTTTGAGGATGCCAGATTTTGGGTGATCCCAGGAAGCGTTACTACATGGAATTTCCTTGTCTGGGGACAGGCACGTGTCCTTATGAGGCCCTGGAAATGCGTCTTATATTCTATTGTTTGCACCATGCTCTCCCCTCCTCCTTTTATTGCCTCTTAGTTCTTTTCTAATTGGGTTTGCCTTTTCTCCACTTTCAAGTATTTTTGGAGCACCTACCATGATGCTGGGCATATACTGATGCTGAGATGCGAATTAAGAAGAAAGACCCAACCATTACCCTCATTGGACTGAGTCTAGACTGGGATTTCCAAACATTCTTGATTATGCACCTGTTAGTAAAAAAAAAAAAAAAAAAAAAAAAAAAAAAAAAAAAAAAGGAGGATGCACTGTTTACTAATATGTAAAACATACACAAAATTGGGAATTAAATAGACTGTTCTCATAGTGCCTGGGCAGTGTTCTCAGCCCTGCTTTGAGACCCTACCATGTTAGAGTTGACACAGAAGAGAGACAACAGAGAGGACTGTAAAGGTGTAAAATTGTTAAAAGACAAAGAACTGTGTGGCTAAAAACAGTCTTGCAACCTGATATCATTGTTACTTTCGCTCCTTGATGATTTGTTTGGTGTCTGTGTTTCAATGCCATTTTGTGTGTTTTTTAATTTTTATTTACATTTTTGAAACAAGAAAAACAACAGTTCACCCACGGGCTTTGGTTTTTCATTGCGTCCTGGCCTTGCTGCTAAAGCTGGTAGTCTATCCTGAGGATCACACTTGGAGCCTTTCCCAAGGGCTAAGACCAACATTCATGCTTTGTGTAGATGCATTTTATTTAGATCCTATCACCCCTCTCCCCCCATCAGACCTCCTAGCCTGCCACCCAGGCTGAGTAGTAATCTTTAAGATGAACTCACAGCTTTTTGGAAATAACTTATTTCTGTTCCCCCCTCAGGAGGGATTTGTTCGTGTTGATCGAGATTATGTCCTGAAATCTGCAGAGCTGGCAAAAGCTGGAGGGTGCAAACATTTCAACCTGCTGTCCTCTAAAGGAGCTGACAAGTCGAGCAATTTTTTATATCTGCAAGTTAAGGTTTGTGCGTGTTTCTCTCTTATATATACTTTGGAGAACCCTAGATAATTGGCAGTGCTAAATAATAGAGAATGCTAAATATTACAAAAATGCCCTAATTGCATTAGATTACACATTTTTATAGGTACAGGGACTGTTGTTTGCAGGGATATATTTAGTAAACAGAGTGACTGGAAGGACCCAGTAATCCTGAAATGAAATACAGCAGCTCTGATCTTGAATTATCAGCACGGAATCTTAACATTAGAAGAGACTTTGAGGCAGTGATTCTTAAACTTTTCCAAAGTAGATGATATTTTATTGGTATGGTTTTTGTCCTCAAGGAATTTGTAATATGCTTGTTTTGGAGGATCCTTAAGTTTGGTAATTCGCTAGAAGGTCTCACAGGACTCAGAATATAGTCATACTCCCAGCTCTGACTTATTACAATGAAAGGCTATAAAGCAAAGCCAGTAAAGGGAAGAAATGCATGGAGTGAAGTCTGGAGCAAACTAGGCACAAGCTTCCAAGAGTTCTCTCCCAGTGGAGTTGCATGTGCTTAATTTCTCCAGCCGTGAGTATTGTCTACCAGAGAAATTCACCTGGGCTCAGGAGTCCAGGGTTTTCATGGGGGTCAGTCCCGTAGGCACCCTCAGCTTAGACACAATTACAGACTTCCAGAAGGAAAGCAAGTGTTCTGCACAAACCACATTGTTTGTACAAATAGTGTAAGCACAGTAAACTACCCATATCAATTTCATCGGTTCTCAACCTGTGGGTCGTGACCCCTTTGGTGGTTGAACAACCCTTTCATAGGGGTCGCCTAAGACCATCCTGCATATCAGATATTTACATCACGATTCATAACAGTGGCAAAATTGCAGTTATGAAGTAGCAATGAAAGTAATTTTATGGTTGGGTCACAACATGAGGAACTGTATTTAAAGGGCCAGAAGGTTGAGAACCACTGAATTAGGTAATGATGGGACCATTCCTGAAATCCAAGTTCCCAAGCCAAAGGCCAACCTTGCAAGCAAGCTTTTCTGAGATAGCAGCCTCAGCCTGCTGGGTTAACGCTTAAGCACCCTGCTAGCAGAGACAAAGCACATCTTTGTAAAAAGCTAAGTGAGAAACGTGTCCACATAAAAACTTCTATCTGAATGTTCATAGAAGCATTATTCTTAAGAGCCAGAAGCAACCCAAATACCCATTATCTGATGACTGGATGGATAAAATGTGGTATATACATACAAAATGTATTATTCAACTACGAAAGGGAATGATATATGCTACAACATGGGTGAAACCTGAAAACATTATGCTAAATGAGGGAGGGCAGTCACAAAAGGACACAACATGTATGATTCCATTTATATGAAATGTCCAGAATAGGCAAATCTATAAAGACAAAGACTAGTGGTTGGCTAAGGCTCAGAGGGAAGGGTGGGACTGAGTGCTATTTGGTACTGGGTTTCTTTTTGGGGTAATAAAATGTTCTAAGATAGCAGGTGAAGGGGGCAAAACTTTGTGAATATACTAGAAAACAGTTAGTTAGTTAGTTAGTCCTCATCTGAGGATATTTTTCCATTGATTTTTTGAGAGAGTGGAAGTTGGGGGAGAGACAGAGAGAGAGCATTGATGTGAGAGAGACCCATTGATTGGTTGCCTCCAGCATGCACCCCGACCAGGGCCGGGGATCAAGCCTGCAACCAAGGTACATGCCCTTGACCAGAATTGAACCCAGGACCCTTCAGTCCACGGGCCTACTGTATATGGACCTAGCCAAACCATCTATGGCATAGAAAACATATATATTTTAAAAAAGCTACCTAAGATTGCCCTGGTTGGTGTGGCTCAGGTAGTTGAGCATCATCCTACGCACTGAAAGGTTGCCAGTTCGATTCCCACTCAGGGCACATGCCTAGGTTTCGGGTTCAATCCCTGGTCGGGGTGCGTGTGGGAGGCAACCAATTGGTGTTTCTCACATCAATGTTTCTCTCGCTCTCCCTTCCTCTCTCTCTAAAATCAGTAAAAACGTATTTTTTTTTAAAAAAAAGAAAATATTTAAGCATAAGACCATCAAAAATGAAACATTTAAAAAAAAAAGGCTACCTAAGATTATAGGATGTGACAGGTTAAGTGCCAAATGAATGGTATGAACAGGCCAAGAAGGGGAGGAGAGCATGCTGCTTAATTCATCAGTCCTTTAGATGTACCTGTTACTGAGCTCCTCAGACATTTTTGTTCATGGAGATGCCTGGCATGAAAATTCATGGTATGTTTAACAAATTTTATTTAAAGCATTATCTAGATGTAATCTCACTGTCTCTAACCCCACCTTTCTTGGTGGGGTTTGTTAGGAAATGAATAATATAGAGGGGGTCTGTGGATCTGCTGACCCACTGGAATTACCTGGAAACCAAAAAAGGTTTATGTCTGCAAGCCTGTAACATTAATTCTGGACTAATGGGAGGTTATTCTTTATGGTTGAACTCCTAACATGTCACGTATTCTCTCTGGATCTGTTAGTATCAGTCAAATGAGAAGCTAGGTGACTATGCAGACGTTCACTCATTCAGTGCATTTTCTTTTTTAAAAATTACTGCATGTCAAGATTAAATGATCTCTTCCTTAACTTCCCAGACTCTCTGGAAAGTTAAGGATAAATCTGGATAAGGGTATTTACAAGTATAGTGGACCCTTGAACAAGGTGGGACTTCACATGTAGTAAAAAATCCATGTATAACTACAGTTGGCCCCTCACATATGTGGATTTCCTTGAAGCCTTGCAGTGAGTTTGAACTGTGGGAGTCTATTGAGAAAAACCACTCACACAGTTTAAATCCATGTTGTTTAAGGGTCAGTTCTACTGAGACCCACAGAAGCAGATTATCTTAAAAACCCAGTTACTCTTTCTCAAGCATTATAGTAAGTTGGTTTTGATTAAATACTAAAGCTATGTTTTGTTTTTTGTGGTGTGTTTTTTTAAACAGGGAGAAGTGGAAGATAGGGTGGAAGAATTAAAATTTGATCGTTACTCCATATTTAGGCCTGGGTGAGTATTCAAGCTACCTAAGAACACACCACTGCTGGCTATTCCCTGGAAGGGAGTTTTCATTTGAAGAGGCTGACAACTAAGATACCTAAGACATGAAAGAGGTTGTCTAGGGTGGATTATTCTCTGAAGAGCCCACCTTTTGTCTTTGAAGGAAAGGGTGGGACAGTTGGTGGTGCCAGGTTCAGAATAGTGTGGAATTTCCTGAATGGCTTTTGCTGCCTTCTTTTTAAAAATCCTTTCCATGCACCAAGTTAAACCTTTTACCCACTGTGTTAGTCTGTTCAGGCTGCCATAACAGAATAACACCATAGACTGGGTGGCTTAGACAATAGAAATTCATTTTCTTGCAATTCCAAAGACTAGAAGTCCAAGATCGAGGTGCCATCAGGGTAGTGTCTGGTGAGGTCTGTCTTCCTGGCTTGTAGATAGGCTCCTGTGTGTCCTCGCATGATCTTTCCTCTGTGTGGGCATGGGGGGGGGGGGGGGGGGGGGAGAGAGAGAGAGAGAGAGAGAGAGAGAGAGAGAGAGAGAGAGATCTAATATCTCTTCCACTTCTGTAAGGACACCAGTCCTATCAGATTAGGATCCCACCTTAATTACCTTCTTAAAGGCACTGTCTTCATGTGCAGTCATACTGGGGGTTGGGGCTTCAACATGAATTTAGTGGAGACACAGCTTAGTCCATCACACTCTCTGGTCTGAATGCAGTTTACCATCTTTCCCTCTGCTTTTTTGTTTTCTCTTTAGAGTTCTGTTATGTGACAGGCAAGAATCTCGCCCAGGTGAATGGTTGGTTAGGAAATTTTTTGGCTCCTTACCAGAATCTTGGGCCAGTGGGCATTCTATACCAGTGGTGACTGTGGTTCGAGCAATGCTGAACAACGCAGTGACACCAAGTGACAAGAAGAAGGAACTGCTGGAAAACAAGGCCATCCACGACCTGGGGAAAGCCGATGGCTCTCTTAAGCCATGATCACACCTGAGAAATGCTTTTTTGGTCAAACTCAGCACCCATCACCTAATCGCCAATTTAAAGGTCTAAAAAGAAAAGCATGCTTTAACTGTGTTTCACTATTTTCAGCCACCTGGGTCCAATAAAAAAATGATTGTGCTCTGCCACAGCAGCTGGGAGCCTGGTTGTTGACCCTTGAACAACATGGGTTTGATCTGAGCAGTTCCATTTATATGGGGATTTTTTTCAATAAATACTGCAAGTGTATTTTCTATTCCTTATGTTTTATTAATATTTTCTTTTCTCTAGCTTATTTTTTTTTTTTGGTGGGGAAATCAAGTTCTAGCTCATTTTATTGCAAGAATACAGTATATAATACATATAACATATAAAATATGTATTATTGTGCTGTTTATGTTGTTGGGAAGTCTTCTGGTCAACGGTACACTATTAGTACAGTTGGCCCTCTACATCTGCAGATTCCCAACCTCAGATCGAAAATATTGTTTCCAATCCACAGTTGCTTGAATCTGTGGGTGTCAAACCTGTGGCTATGAAGGGCAGAGTGTAAAGTTTGGGGGGGTCAAAAGTTATATGTGGATTTTCAACTGCACCAGGGTAGCACCCCTAACCCACCTGTGGTTCAAGGGTCAACTCTACAGCACCCAGGGAGCTTTTCAAACATGGGGCTTCACAGGCTCTGTCTGACTCAGACCTTCTGAATCCAATATTTTGGGGGGATGGGCACAGGAATCTGCTGTTTTGTGTGAGTTTCCCCTGGTGAATCTGATGCCGCTGGTGCGGAGGCAGCTCTGAAGTGCTTGTCTGCAGAGTGACGGCAGCAGTGCAGACCTTATGTAGCATGCAGATGAGTTCTGCTCTAAAATTGTTGACATTGGGGTCTCCAAGATACTCAGTGCTGACTGCATATAATTGTGTCAGTGAACATTGTGCCTTACTACTTCTTTAGAATATATAATAAAATTTATTATACAACTGAGCTTTTATAATTCCTAATTAAATAGAGGAATAAAAATAAATGGACAAATCCTGGGTGCCTCTTAGATTGTTAGGAAATGCCCAAGTATCAGTGGTAATATGCAGTATTTTGGCCAATGGGATGATATAATAGCGGCTAATATTTATCAGGTGCTTGCTAAGTGTCAGCCTTTACACATGCTGTCTGTCCTTGAACCCTCCAAACAATCCTTGCAATGGTTATAGGTGGTACTTGCTGTTAGTGAACAAAAGTTCACTGCCCACAGCACACAGAAGCCGAACTATGGCACAGGCTTTTCTTTAAGAAAAGGAAGGAGCTTTATTCGCAAGTCAGCTGGAAGAAGACAGGGGGCAAGGCTCAAATCTGTCTCATCCCGGACTCTGGGTGGGTTTTAAGGAGGAGCAGTTAAGGGTTCACAGGTGTTGCTGGTGAGTGGTGTTTCCCAAGTATTACTCGTAAATGGTGTATTCCAGGTCTAAACTTTGGCTCCGGGTCTTGTTAGAAACAGGATAGGACCAGGCTCTGTGGTTACCCTGTCATCCTCATACCCTAGATGGAGGAAACTGAGACGCCCTGTCAGTAAGTGCCTTGCCCAAGGGGCCACAGCCAGAGACCTGAAGCTGGGAAATGGCAGAGCCAGCATTCTAACCCAAGTCAGCCTGATCCCAGGATGTGTATTTTTTTTTTTTTTTAGGATGTGTATTTTTAACCACCCTGTAAGAGCACCCACTATTTGTATAATTCCAGAAAGCTGCAGTGAACTTTTGCTGGATCAGTACATGCTGTGTGTGAATTAAATAAAAATATTTGGATTTCTCCCTATAATGATTAACCACAAAATGTTCACATAGCAGTGAAAGTACTTCTCAAAGTGCTGCAACTTAAAAACTACGGAAAAGGAAGGGGAAAGGCAGAAGGGTCAACGTGAAGAGGAGCACACGGTGATAATTTCCATCCTGGAACAAAGGATGATGGTGAAACTTGTCTTAACATTTGTGCCGGGGGAAGCAAAGTTATTTGAGTAGTTCAGTCAATTTTTACAGGGTCTACAGGATGCCAAGTACATTTCAAGTTTCTGTGGGCACTGGAAGATAAAGGCCAGTGGGTGTGTCCCCCCCCCCCGCCCCACCCGCACCGGGGCCAGTGGGCTTTAGGAAGGAGATGGGCCGTCTTCCTCCTGCCAGGTGGGGTTCCTTTGGGGCCAGACTCTGAAGAGCCTGTGTCTTTGGGTGACAACAAGTGTGTGCTCCAAGAAGCAAGGCCGAGAGTAATGGCAGTTAAATCCAGTGGCCAGTTTTAAGTTATTCTCTGTATATTATTTCCTTGCCCACAAACCTGTTGGGCCTTGTTCAACACTCTATTGTGGTCTTAATAATGAGTGGGAAGATAGGGGAGAATCTGGGCTCATCTTTAGAGCAGAGAAAAGAGCTACTCCCTCCCAAGCCCAGCTTTATGGTGAGGCACAAACTTTAAGGGACAAGATTCTGGTCCAGTCACCCCTCTAAACTCAGTGTTACTTTTTTGTTTTAACTGTTAACATTGAACGATCGGGTGTCACTAAGGGGTTTTGCAGGCTTCCCTTCAAATGTTATACTGTCAGGGAGAAGATGGGTCTTGCTGGAGAGTTTATGTCAAAAAATGAAGGAAAAAATTGGGTGGGCCTTGGTAATGAAAGGCCTTGAATTTATGCATTCATTCAGTTTATTTAATACTTCCTATGTGCCATGGCACATAGGCAGTGCAGATATATCAGTGAACAGTAAAGTCTATCCCAACCGAGCCAGCAACTATTCTGACAATGCCCTACGATGTAAGGGGCTTCACACTTAATAGCTGATGAATTCTGTCCTCTTGGAGTTTACAGTGAAGGGACAGAAGTATATGCAGAAGAGTTTCATAATAATACAAGGCATCTGTTTCATTCAACATATTTATTGATTACCTATTATGAATTAGGCCACATGTTATGTGTCAGAGAAATGAAATAGAGACATGGCCTTACCCTCACGGTGCAAACAGTGTTGTAGGTAACAAAGAAGAAAAAAAGAGGGAAAAACAAGCAAATGGTAGGTACTAAGAAACTTAACAGGAGGCTTCTGGAATGACAGTGGATCCTACTTTAGAAATAGTGGTGTGAGGAACTTTCTGCTGAGACAAAAAGTGCCTACCTATTTGCAGAGTATTCTTAGCAAAGGCCTTGAGGTGGGAAAATGATGAGTCCAAAGAAAAGGCTGGAGGAGGGGGCCCAAGATGAATGGTTGAGTTGAGATGGAACATTCAGCAGGATTATGTAGAACCTGGTAAGCCATGGTAGTCAATTTCATTTTAGAAGCATGTGCTACAAGCATGCTAGCCTCTGGGATTAGAGTTTGGGACATTACCTACTGAAATTACTGTTGCCCACTTCCACCTAACAAAGCAGTCTATGGTTTGAATAGGTATGGGGGAGGGAAGAAAGACATGAGGCATAGAAAGGTTTGTGTTCCTCCCACACAGCAGCCAGAAAGTTACTTTCTAAACCAGCGATTGTCAACTGGTGTGCCACAAGATTTTTTAAAACATGCAATACCTGACTAGTCAGGGGCACTGACCTCTTTTCCCTCAGACTGTCACATAAATAATGACAACTACCAACACAATAGCTGTCTGATGTGAATGAATAAAAATTATACCTATTTTGTCCTGGTCGGGTGGCTCAGTTGATGGAGCATTGTCCCATAGACCAAAAGGTTGTGGGTTTGATTTCCAGTCAGGACACACATCGAGGTTTCAGGTTCAATTCCCAGTGGGAATGTGTACAGGAGGCAACCCATCGATGTTTTTTTTCCACATCAATGTTTCTCTCTAAAAAATCAATGAAAACATATTTTTGGGTGAGGATTAAAGAAAGGAAAAAAAAAACATACCTATTTTTTTTTTGTCAGATAGGCAAAAAAAATATATTTTTTTTTGGTGGGCCGAAGAATATTAGTAATTAGTTGATGTGCCATGAGATGAAAAAGGTTGAAAATCGCTGTACTAATCACATCTGACAGCTCTGACCGGGTATCTCAAGTGATTAGAGTGTTGTCTGATACAACCAAGGTTGCCAGTTCGATCTCTGGTCAGGGCACATACAATAATCAACCAATGAGTGCATAAATAAGTAGAACAAGTTAATGTTTCTCCATCTAAAATCAATAAATAAAAACTTAAAATATAAAAATAAATAAGTAAATACATCTGACAGTATTACTCCCTTGCTTAACCAAACAGGTCATCTGCTTACCGTAGTTGAGGATAAAGTTAACAATTATGTCTAAACACTTTACATGTATTAACTCATTTTTATCCTTACAATAACCCTGTGGTTAGTGCATTATCTCCATTTTGTAGTTGAGGAAATGGAGGTAGGGAGATGTCAAGCAACTTGCTCAAAATCATAGAATTAGGCAGTGTCTACAAAAGAAACATCCAAACCTGTAGAGAACTTTTATAAGTTTATTTGAGCCAAACTGATGACATAGGCTGGGGAACAAGATCTCAAGTGCTTCGGAGAGTAACAGTCTTGCAGTTTCTCTTATGCGTTTAAAATTAAGGAGGGAATGTAAGGAAGATTACATAAAGGTGGGAAAAAGCAAGGCCAGGATTGGATTACAGGATAGTTAGCGAGGTTCTGTGCTTTCTTGAGGGTGGTTATGGTTAATTTCAAAGGTGTATTAACCCAGATGCATAGAAACAACGGGCAGGGCTTGCTTAAGGCAAAGATGAACCTTTTACTAAAAGTTACTAGCACATGCCTGGGGTTGATTACCCAACCTGACTTGCCCAGTTAGGGATTTATGGTCAGATCACCCTGTGAAGTTACTTTCCATGGAAAAGTGACAGAAGAAGAAGTCAAACCAAGTAGGTTGGCTCTGGAGTCCATGTTCTCACTTAACCACTGGACATTCAAGACTGAACTCACTAAAGCAGCCTGCAAGGCTTTGGTCTGTAGTACACCCACGCTGGCTCCCGCAGTTCCCTCTCCCCCAGCTTCACCGCAGGGGGATGGGGGGCGGGAGGAGCCCAGGAACCAGAGGAGTCTGGCTCCCGCCTGTGTTCTGCCTCCTCCGCCACCAGAGGGCGCCGCGGGCCGCTCTCCCCTCCACGAACCCAGAATGGGGGAAGCTCGGAGGGCGGGGTGCTCACTGCAAAACCACTGCGGCGTCTTCCCACCCACCTCTGGGCACAGGGCTTCGGGCGAGCACCTTCCGCTAAAGCCTGTGGCAGCCGGAGGAAGAAACCAAAGTCTGCCCAAGGCTGAGACTCTTAAACCTCTTTTCAACGCGCTGATTCCGGGCGCACTGCGACAACACTGCGGCGGGAGGAGGCGGAGCTCGGGCCGCAGCCCCGCCCACCCGGGCTTTCGCCACGCCCTCCAGCCCACGTGACCAGCGCCGCCATGTCGGGGCCGGAAGCGCTCCCGAGCCCGCGCGCGCGCTCTCGCGTGTCCAGGCGCCCGAGAAGTGCCCCCAACTCCTTCCCTGCTGCGCGCGTGCGCGCGCTCGTTCCTGGGCCCCGGTCCGAGAGTTCCTCGACGGCCGCGCGCGCCGCTCAGCCAGGTCCCCGCCCCCAGCACGCGGGCTCCCGGGGCACCTCAGCCATGTGCTCGCGAGCGTCGGGCGCTACCGGTGGGTACTCCCGGCCCCTCAGCACCCGCGCCGCCCAGGGGCTGATGAAAGACCCTCTCCTCCCCCTGCAGCCTCCGGGGCGCGGAGCCCGGGCCGTGGGGCCTTGCTGGGGGTGAGGGGGATGCCGGAGGTGCCGGGGTGCGGGACGCGGGCGGCGCTCCCCCCTGCGGTGGAGCCTCTCCCCGCCCTCCTCCTCGTGCGCGGGGCCGGGCGGGCCCTGGCGTCCGAAGCGGGGCTGACTTTTGCGTGTGCTAGGCTGCCGGGGCGCCGTGGAGGACGAGGAGGACCTGCCGGACCTGTCAGACAGTGGGGACGAGGCCGCCTGGGAGGACGAGGACGATGCTGAGCTCCCCCACGACAAGCAGCAGACGCCCTGCCTGTTCTGTGACAGGTTCGTGCGCTCCGCGCCGGGTGGTGCCCGGGCCACGTGGGTCCGCGTGCCCTGCCCTCGCCTTCTCCCGCCAGTGGTTTGGAGCGCGGGCTTGTGGAGAAGGGAGACCCCAGGTGGTATGGAGGGAGGAGCCATGGCCTGGAAGCCGGCTGGTCTTCGGCGGCCGGTTTCCCCGTGTGTAACACCAGAGGGTTTTGCACTGGATCTGTGGTTCCCAATCCTGGTTGTGTACCTGTGTCACCTGAAACACTTAGGAAAGAACGCAGATGCGGAACTCCGCACCATGGTCCTTCTAGGTCAGGATTGCGGCCCAGGAATCTCTCTTTTTATAAAGGCCCCGATCTCAGGTGACTCTAACCAATAACAGGTTTCAGAGTCACTGAACAATAATCTCTCGGGAGGACCCTTCCAGCTTTACCATTCTGTGATCCCTGACCAGCAGAGAGCTTCTCAGGTGCAGTACTTCATCTGAACCATCTATATGTATAAAAGCCTAAGTGACCGAACGACCAGTCACTATGATGTGCACTGACCACCAGGGGGCAGACACTCAACACAGGAGCTGCCCCCTGGTGGTTGGTGTGCTCCCACAGGGGAGCACCACTCAGCTGGCTGTCGGGCTCCAGACCCTGGATCGCGGCTGGCAAGCGCAGCTTTGGTGGCAGGAGCCTCGCCCACCTCTGGCAGTGCGACTGAGCGGAGGAGGCAGCAGGCGCAGCCTGGCAAGATGAGTGGGAATGGTGTGGTGCCTGCCCGGTAGGCTCTTAAAAAAGGTTGAAAAGAGGTTTAAGAGCAACCCTTTTTCGGTAGGCCCCCCCCCCCCCCCCCCCCCCCCGTTGAAGGGGAAGGAATTGATGCCACTTTCAACTGGACTGCCAGTTTCAGGCCAGCCTGCAGGGATTGGGCCAAAACCGGCAGTCTGACATCCCCCGAGGGGTCCTGGATTGAGAGGGGCACAGGCTAGGCCAGTGGTCGGCAAACCGCGGCTCGCAAGCCACATGTGGCTCTTTGGCCCCTTGAGTGTGGCTCTTCCACAAAATACCACGTGCGGGCGCGCATGTATAGTGCGATTGAAACTTCGTGGCCCATGCGCAGAAGTCGGTTTTGGGAGACGAGGTGCTGGGATACACAGCGTGGGGGAGGTACATTGTTTTGAGGTACGTTCACTGAGGTCGAGCCCTTCCAACTCTCCCAGAGTTGGAAGGGGTCGACCTCCGCGAACGTACCTCAATCAGATTGAGGACGTTTTTTGCAAAGGCCAGCTTAGGAGTACCCTAATTAAGTTAATAACAGTATATCTACCTATATAGTTTAAGTTTAAAAAATTTGGCTCTCAAAAGAAATTTCAATTGTTGTACTGTTGATATTTGGCTCTGTTGACTAATGACTTTGCCAACCACTGGGCTAGGCTGAGGGACCCCATCGATGCACGAATCCGTGCACCAGGCCTCTAGTTTAAAGAGTAACCCTTTTTCGGTAGGCCCCCCCCCCCCCCCCGTTAAAGGGGATGGAATTGATGCCTTTTCACTTAGGTTAAAAAAAAAAAAAGCTCCGGTATCAGTAACTTGCTCAAGGTCACACAGCTGTGGTTTGTCCTATCCAAACCCACGTTCTTTCCATGTACAATTCTGCCTCTTTGTCTCCACAAGCATTGACTCTGGTTGCTGTCCTGGCACGTGGGCATGAAAGAGGCCTGTGTGGCATCGGCCAGGGTCACCTGAATAAACATTTTCCAGTTTTCCTTAAATCTGGGCATGGGGCTGGTTTGGTGGTAGGTTAGCGCCTCTGGATTCATCATTGTTTGCACCTGTGGCCTCATTGGGGCAGCTGTAGAATGTCTACATATCCTCCAGGCACTGTGACATTTGTGGAGCATCAGGACGGACTTCTCTGTGACAGGCTGCAACAATACTGCAAAAAGGACGGGTCTTGGTAAACATTTGTTGAGAGCTAATTGCTGCATGGCGCTGTGCGAGGCATAGAAAAGAGGCGCACGGCTTCTGTGCTGTGTGTGCCTGCTTTGCATCCTTCAGTTTTGCAGGTCACATCACCGAGAGACTTGGTCCTCACAGTGTCGGTAATGCAAGTACTTTGGGAACACTACAAGGTCACCTTTGAAGTACGGCACTTAGGGAATATGCCAGCTGTAAAATTACATTGTATGCTTTATTTCTGAAAGTACTCTGAGCTTTACCAGTTCAAAGCCTCCAAAAACAGAATTGACACATAAGAGGAGAGAAAAGTCTTATGTAGGGAATTTTCATATCGAGAGAAATGGAATCTAACAAAGGGAGTTCTCTTTCTTAAAAGCCTTTTGGTAAATTTGGTGCTTTTAATTGGCAAGTATATTACCTTTGACATTTAATGGGGAGTTGGTTTGTTTTAGGTGTAAAATGGAACTGAGAAGAACTGATTCCCTACAGTGGTTCTCAACCTTCCTAATGCTGCGACCCTTTAATACGGTTCCTCATGTTGTGGTGACCCCCAACCATAAAATTATTTTCGTTGCTACTTCATAACTGTAATTTTGCTACTGTTATGAATCGTAATGTAAATATCTGATATGCTATATGTGTTTTCCGATGGTCGCGACCCACAGGTTGAGAACCACTGCGAAGTCCTGGTTCCTGACTCTACAGAGAATGTTTTTTCTTAATTGGGAATAAAACTAGAAACCAGCAGGTTCGGGGGGTAAAGGGAGTGTATGTTTAACATAAAATCAATATTTAGACTTCTTAGGGACTTTTTCATGAAGCTATTTATTGCTTGATTTTTCAGGTTATTTACATCTGCTGAAGAAACATTTTCGCACTGTAAGTCTGAGCATCAATTTAATATCGATACCATGGTCCATAAACATGGTGAGTATTTTTTAGAATAAGGAAAATTTTAGTTGTGAAATTTAAGTACAAACTTTGTTTTTCCAGACCTTTCTTTTTCTAAACAATAGTGAAATATATAGCAACAACCTATCTTTTTTTGGCAGTGCCCTTAGAGGAAAGATTAAATATAAGTGATTCTTCTAGATAGGATTTCACTGTAAGCTTATATTGACTTCACAACTCAAAAGGAAGTCAATATAATGATTGCATTTTTATCATATTAGAATTAAGGAAAGTAAGAGAATATATTAGAATTAATGAGAGCAAGCATAAAGGTGGACTTGGGAAAGGAGGTGGAACATTATGAAAAAAGACAACTTATGTGAAAAAGCATGTGAAATTCAAGGCATACAAGGTCGAGTTTTATAAGGAGTTTGGTAAGAGATTATAGAAAAAGGATTGATGAAATTAAGGTGGTAAAATATTTAGATGATTCTTTTGAGACTTGCATTTAATCATACCTATTTTACTAATAAAGCTTTTCACTTCTTTAAATGGACATAGAAGACCACTGTTCCACTAAAATTAAGTACAGAATTATTTTTTTGGCCCCTGTATTTACTAACAACTGCAAAGGACATTAGATAAATGTGACATAATATGTTTATAAATTTAAGTGCAACTACTTTTGAAAGGCATGGATAACTTAGTCTCATTGGATTTTTTTCATGTTTTTAACATGCATTTTTAAGTTATGACTTGGAATCATACTGTAAATATAACTTTGTACTAGAGGCCCAATGCATGAATTCGTGCACGGGTGGGGTCCCTCGGGGTGGCCTGCGGGGATCGGGCCCCAGCTTGTGCCCCCATCCTTGTAGCCCCGTAACCCAGCCTGGCATCCTGCCGTGGCCTGGTGCCGCACCCTCACCTGCTCCACCATCCCACCTACGGGGTGATTAATCTGGGCCAGGCCCCTGCCTGGCTCCCTCAGCACCTGGGAGCCGGGTGGCGGCCCTGCCCACCGCCGCTGGTTGCCACCTGTGGGGTGATCGGCAGGGCGATCAGGCCCCTGCTCGCACCCACCTTGGCCTGGTTCCACCTGCTCACCTGCTCCACCATCCCTCTGCAGTCCCATTCTCGTCAGGGCCCATTAGGGTCAGCAGCACCTCCACTACTACCTGCTGCCAGCACCATGTCACTGACTCCCGCCATGTTCTGTGCCATCCCCTGGTGGTCAGTGGACATCATAGCAAGCAGTCGAACTCCCGGTCGAACAATTTGCGTATTAGGCTTTTATTATATAGGATTTTTTTCTTACCATATAGGGGTTTTTATATGCTTCTAGAGGCCCAATGCATGAAATTCTTGTAAGGGTAGGCCCTCACAGCCCTGGCTGCCTCGGCACTTTCAGCCGCCCTGGCTGCTGCCTTGGCTCCTGCAGCCCCAGCTTCGTTCAGAAGGTCGTCTGGACAGTCGTTTCGCTGTTTAGCCATTTGGTCAATTTGTATATTATGCTTTTATTATTATAGATTATGCACATAAAAACATTTTGTATGCCATTATGTTCCTTATACAACATTTTCCAGGAGAAATCTGTTAGATATGCTATTGACTGGAAATCAAACCCGAGACCCTTCAGTGCTCGGGCTGATGCTCTAACTACTGAGCACACCAGCCAAGGCTGTTTTCCCCTGTTTTAAATGCTGTTTCATTTCTGGAAATATAAGAGAACCAGATAACAAGCCTCATTGTTTTTCAATATGCATCATTTAACTTAATGTTAAAGCTAATATACTTCATATACTCCAGATTCTGGCTAAATTATAATTTGGTAGGCACTGTAAAAACTGGGATGTAGGAACTTTCAGTTCTAATATCAACTGCCCTATACTTGGCAAAGCTGTGACCTAAGTTTCCTGATTTGTAATGCTCTTAGAAATGAGAAGAGTTCTAAAAATTAATTTTCCATATTTTAGAAATGCAAGAAAAATATTGTCATCTATGCTAGCTGTTTCTCAATTACAATATTCAGAAGTATCAAAATACTATTTCTAGTTCTTAATAAGAAATTAAAAATATTATAAGTTTTAATTTAGAGCAGTAGTTGCCAACCAGTGGTCCATGAGGTCCGAAAGGTTGGCGACTGCTGATTTAGAGGACAGAAATGTTTTATTGTCTAACCAGAGAAGCCTCTATAAAACAGGTCAATTAAACAAAATTCATGTTAAAATAGGTAAATTATCTTTTTTCCCCCCTTTAGGACTTGAATTCTATGGATACATTAAACTAATAAATTTTATTAGGCTTAAGGTAAGTTGGTGCTTAATTTACAATTTTGTTTTTAAACTAAAGAAATACTGCTACCAGTGGTGACTAAAAGAATACGAAGAACTACTTTACAAGAAACTGTTTTAAATTTGTCAGTCATCATATTGGAATCATGGACATTAGGAAATGCCACAGTATACAGGACCAAGTAAATCAGGGGTTGGGGAACCTTTTTTCTGCCAGGGGCTATTTGGATATTTATAACATTCGTGGGCCAAAATTATCAACCTAAAAATTAGCCTGCTATATTTGGTCAAACATTTAATTAACTCACCCCTAATACCTTGGCAGGGCCAGACCAAATGATTTCACGAGCCTTAGGGGCCGGAGGGTGAAGTGTTCCCCACCCCTGAAGTAAATGGATGCACACCATACTTAATAAGTGTCATTTTTAACTGCATCTAAGAGATGAATCATCAGTGTTATATAAAAAAGTAATTCAGAGTCAGATAAAGGGAAGTACTGAAAGTTTCTGAAAATCAGAAATAATTTCTAGTGTGATTTCAAGTACTGTGGTTGCTTTCTTTGTTCTATTTTTCAAATACTTCGTTCTTCTTTCTGTTCTATTCAAATGAGTATTTATATTGCCACTTCCTCCAGATCCCAACAATATAAAATTGTGCAGTGATACCATTGATTAAGCAGTCATCCAATCAAGTTAAGGAAGTGACAATTGAACATAGACTTCTTAAATAGAGATTTTGTGTAATGTCAGCATGATTTCCTTTTTTGTCTAATTTTCCTAGTTTTTGCTAAGGGAATCTTATGATTATATGCATTGAAAAAACATGCAATTAATTTTACATCCAGAATCCTACAGTTGAGTATATGAATTCCATATGTAATCCAGTGCCTTGGGAAAAAGAAGAGTATTTGAAGCCAGTATTAGAAGATGACCTTTTACTTCAGTTTGGTAAGATGAATACATCCTTTGTGGAATATGTTTCAAATATTTTACTGTACTTAAAGAAAAAGTAAACTCCATTTTATTCACTTAGATTTCATTAGTTTTTCCCTACTCTCCCTTTCTGTTCCAAGATCGCATGTAGGATACGCAGTATATTTAGTTGCTATGTCTCCTCAAGCCCCTCTTGGCTATGACAGCTTCTCAGGCTTTCCTTGTTTTTGATGACCTTGACAGTTTTGAGGGTTACTAGTGTACAAATATTTAAAGTGGAACATGATTTGCATAGTTCAAAGTATTGTCCCAAGAAATTTATTTTATTTTTATTTTTGTTAATCCTTATCTGAGGATATTTTTTCCATGGATTTTTCTTTCTTTCTTTTTTCTTTTTTTTTAGAGAGGGTGGAAGGGAGGGAATGGGGTGAGGAGAGTGAGAGAGAAACATCGATATGATAGAGAGAGATCATTTTGTTGCTTCCCACATGCCTGGGATCAAACCTGCAACCCAGATACATGCCCGTGACTGGGAATCAAACCCAAAACCCTTTAATGCACTGGCCAATGTTCTAAGGACTGAGCAATACTAGCAGGGCCCAAGCAATTTATTAATTACAAAGGAGATGTAAACTTTTCAGTGGAGGAATCCAGCAGACCACAACCAAGTGATTGAGGCAGGCATGAGTTTGAATCTTAGTTCCTTCATTAAACAGCTGTATAACTTTGCTGGCTAGTCGCTTAATTTTTCTAAAATTTATTTTTCCCATGCATTAATCCAGGGATAATTATTTACAATTTAGCTTTCCTTTGAGGATTAACTGAGATGTAATGCATGTACATGGAAGGTAGCTGATAATAAATATTAGGGTTTTTTTCCTTCCACTTTTTTGTTTCTTCTGGTATTTGGTTCTGTATAATTAATGCTTATTTATGTTTTTAATTTAGCCAACTAATGAAAAACATAGACTAACAGCATGCTCTTTAAATTCAAATGGAAGCAGTTTGGATTTATACATTGATTTAAAGTACTTTTACTAATTTTTTTCAAGTGGCTGCATAATAGGCATTTAGTATGTATGTATTTATTCCTAACATATTTATATATTTATTATAAGATGTCCTGATAATGTCCATTTATATCTTTAGATGTAGAAGATCTTTATGAACCAGTGTCAGTCCCATTCTCATTCCCCAATGGACTCAGTGAAAATACCTCTGTTGTTGAAAAATTGAAACATATGGAAGCCAGGGCACTGTCTGCTGAAGCTGCATTAGCTAAAGCGCGTGAGGATCTTCAAAGAATGAGGTAATTTATCAGTCTTATAAAAAATTGTTTAGACCCCTCCCCCCCCCCAAAAAAATAATACAACTAATAATAAGATAGGATATGGTAAGGCATTTTATATACTGGAAAGTACAATGTAGCTATTTAATTTTAATATATTACAGCAATGCAACAATATTTTTATACATTGTGACATTGTTGATTAACATAAAGTTCTCATATATTTTATCATTTTATACTAATGATAATTGTTCTGGGGAGTGTTGTCTTAAGTGTTTTTGTTCTTTGATGCTGCCTTCCTTCGAATTACCCTATTTCTACTAGATTTCTCCATTTTACTTTTCCTCTCCTAGGCTTTTGTGTTGTTGTTAATCCTCATCCAAGGATCTTTTTCTCCCTTGATTTTTAGAGAGAGTGAAAGAGAAGGAGAGAGGGGGAGAGAGAAAGAGAGAGAAACATCGATGTGAGGGAGACACATCGATTGGTTGTCTTCCGCTCATGCCCCAACCTGGGGGCTGGGGTTGAACCTGCAACCCTTTGGTGTGAGGGCCAATGCTGTAGCAACACTGGCCGGGGCTCTTCTCCCAGGCTTTTAAAGTGGTGGGATTAATATTTTTAGGTTTGGGAGGAATACGGGGTTAAAATGTTTGCTTTTAAAGAATCAAAATATAATTATGGTATAGTATTTAATCAGAACACCAGACAATTATGATGGTTTTCTCCAGTGAGTAAATTAGCAATCTACTGGCTTAGTACTTCTCAGAATTTAATGTGCATGTAAATCACCTGGGGATCTTGTTAAACTGTGGATTCTGATTCAGGAGGTCTCAAGTAGGGCCTGAGATTCGGCCTTTTTACTAAGTATACCTCTAGCTTTACCTTCTGGATTTGTAATTTACTTGTTGCCGGAGTACCCACTTGATCGTTTGCCAGAATGTTGAGTAGGAAGGATAGTATAGCTGATTGCAGTTTCCCTTGCCTGTTTCTGAGATTTTATGCTGGGTAACCTGTTAACCACCAATAACTCTACTGTCTGCATCTTTACACTTCTTTCACATGCATACCTTACAGATTCTTAATATATGATCAGAGAGGGAACTAAATTTTAGAGCTGAAGTGGATGGTGTTGGTTTATGTAAATCTCAATTTGGGTCCACTTTCTGCACATATAACCCTTTGATGAGATAATAGGTTTTAAAGAATATTAATAGTGTCGAAATATAGTATTACATTGATTTAGCTACTAAAATAAGCTTTTGGAATATTAAGAATAATAAAGTTGAATAAAGGTAATGTGCTTATTTTATTCAGTTGAAAGATATAAACAGCTATAATCTGCAGTTGGCAGGGCTTTGTGGTTTGCAGAAGGAATGCTTTTACAACTGGGTTTGAATATGCCATTGCTTGAGATCCAGCAGGGGGAGCTTTCAGTTGCTTATGATAGAATTATTTAGAAAGCTCATCACACTCTACTCACTCCTGCCCCCCCATTTCCTCTTCCTCAACCTCTAGCTTTCCCTTTTTCATGGTCCAATAAACCTGTCTCAAGGGTGTATTTCAAATTGATTACAGACAATTTGCTCAGGATTTTGTGATGAACGCAGATGTCAGAACCTGGTCGGCATCTACTACTGCCATTGCAGACCTTCAGGAGGATGAGGATGGTGTTTATTTCAGCTCATACGGGCATTATGGGATACATGAAGAAATGCTAAAGGTTAGAAAAGAGCACAAATGCACCAAATCCATAATTAAGGAAAATTTTAATAAGACAAATCCTTAATACATATGCTATAGGAAACTGGTTTCTGTTTTGTTTTGTTTTTTTATAACTGTTTTTCAAATCTCTTTGATGCTTGATAGCTCATCTTGGATTAGAAAGATTGCAGAAGCATCAAAGTCATTTAACTTCTGTTTAAGATCATTATTAATCTTTGTTATGAAATTACTTTTGCTTTAAATAGAACATTGGTAAAAAACAACTGCTTTAGTCTTCTCAAGAACAACTATTAAATATGAATAAATTATACGTTTGCCTTAAAGTATACAAAGGAAACGATTAATTTTAGTGTTTTAATTAGCTATACTGACTTCAGTTTGGGCAAATAATTCCTTGGTACAAAGTTTATAAGTAATTTTCAGTTGTTATGGCATAACTCTTTTACATTTGAAATCATTGATATATAGAGAAATTTTCTAAATTGGTTAAATCAGATATGTAAGTTTGGCTGGTTTTAATTTTTGTAATAGTAATGTATTCATAAAATACAAGTAGATTTCTAGTTATACCTAGAAATAGATTTCTAGTTATATATTTCATCATGTATTATATTATACATTGTAAACTAGTAAGATGTAATTTTTCCATTTAGTAAAACTAAGAATATCTAACTAGAGTAAAACATGTTGAAATATAAAACTTATTGAAAATTTTAGATGTTTATCTCTCTGAATTTTAGAATCCACGACCTTTTCTTGAAACGAACAAACAAATAATTCCTTTCTGAATGATTCCTCAAAAGATTGTTTTGTTATGGAAGCCTCAAGACTATGTTCCCCTAAAACATATACATTTGAAATAACCGGGGGATTTAATAATGTATATATTTTGTTCATTCAGTTTTATAGATTCAAAGAGTGACGGCTTGCTGATTAATAGTAACTTAATTACTTAAGGTTTTTTTAAAGCAGTGCCATGTCATTTTTTTTTTAGTAATCACATGTCATGTCATGGTTGTGCTTCTTGTTGTCACTTGGGTAATGGCATAGCATTACAAATAATGGTTATCTTATTAGAACTAATATATTATTTTAAGTCCATAGTGAAATTGTATAAAAGAACTCACTTCATTTTTTTTTGTGATGGTTCTTAAAATTAATTTTATTGTATCTAGAATATTTTCCTTAAAGTAGTTAATCTAAGCCCATGTTTGTCCTTTTACATCACCCCAGCAATCTGAATGCCATAAACCTTTAATGCCTTTGGCATAGAAATTGTGTTGCATTTTTCAGACAGTTAAGGTTAAGACTCCCAGTAGGTAGTACATGTGAGTGTCTTTAACACAGTATTCAGGGAATTTCACTTTGAGCACTTATTTCCACTACTCTGTCCTGGATACTTGTAACTATATATCAGTAACTAAAAGATCTTTTTTAAAAAAAAAAAATTTTTATTGACTTTTAGAGAGAAACAGAGAAACATCTATTAATTGGTCCACTCCATTTATGCCTTCATTGGTTGATGTCTCCTTTTTCCCCCATTGACCTCTCCCTGGCCACTCCCACTCCCCAGCACATGCCCTCACCCCCTACTGTCTGTGTCCTTTGGTTATACTTTTTGCATGCATCCAAGTCCTTTGGTTGATCTCTCACCCCTCCTCCCTCAACCCTCCCCTGCCTTCCCTGTGAGGTTTGACGATCTGTTCAATGCTTCTATGTCATTGGTTGATTCTTGTATATGCCCTGACTGGGATCAAACCTGCAACCTTTTTGGTGTATGTGACAATGCTCCAACCAACTGAGCTACCCAGAAGGGTTTAAAATTTTTTTTAAATAGTCATAGGAATAATTCCATGACTCTTACTAGTCTTAAAACACAATCTTGCTTTGTAGTGTTGGAACTCTAATTTTATTCTTTTTTTGTGTGTTTTTTGGTTTCAATATGTTGGTGCAAAAGATGATTTTTAAATTTCTGTTTAGTACCTTATTTTGAAATTAAGTGTTACTCTTTTGATGGAATGTATTTTTAGAAATGGTTATGAGGGCTAGTCTTATATGCTTGCATTTTCGTATTCAGTGGATTTTTCTTTAAAGCTTCAGTTATTAAATTGAAACTGCTCTGTCTGAGGTACTATGTTAGGTATACTTTGGATTTCATGGCACCAGGGTGAGCATATGAACAGTAACAGATGGATATATAGAAAGAGCCTGGATGAAGGATTATAGTTGAGCAGAGCAGCAGTGCATGAACTTAGGACAGAAGTTGGGATGGTAATGATTAAGTTGGAGCAGTGGTGAAGCAATGTGATTGGTGAGGGGTTTCCAAGTGACTGGCTTCTTGACTGATGTTCCCATTTGTAGGTTTTATTGTGTCAGCAAAAATTACTGCTTATGGTATAAGAAGGGTATAAAAATGGCACAAATGTATGAAATGCTATGTTTTTTAAGTTTTAAAATTAGTTAATATGTGTAAATGTATTTAAACAGATTTTTTTTTTAGTAATTCTTAAAATCTTTCAGGGAAAGATTTAACAAACCTGATTTAAAATGTTTAAAAAGCCATTAGTAATAACCATCAAAAAGTGTGGAATTAATTATGGAATTCCTCCTTTTTAGATCCAGTATTTAAGTAAAACAACTTTTCTTTTAATTTAAAGCTTCCTTTAAGTGTTTCGTGTGTTGTTTTTAAATCATAATATTGGCATAAAATTTTTGGGGGGATTGTGTGCCTTACATAAATTTTACATTGTAGTATTTTGTGTAACTATTTTTTGTTTTAATTTACCTTAAAATTTAATTTAATTTAGTGTGAAACCCAAAATTAGAATTTCTAGTTTGAGATATTTTTTTCATTCTCATTTTACTCACTTGGCAACAAAGCCCTTTGCTACTTACTTTGCTGTTTGTATGTATCTCAAGTGAGGTAATTTAAAAGGAAATCAGCTCTGTTCATGAACCAACATAAATGTTAGCATTCAGTACCTGCCTTGTCTCAGGTCATGTAAGACTCCAGAGTGCAGAAGTCTCAGCATGTGAGCTGCAGGGCTCAAATGATTTACTTTTAAGCATCATTTCCTACTACAGACATTTGTAGAAGCAAGACAGGATTATAAATCAGATAGGTGCTGACAAATGACTTTCTTAGAAATACCATACTTACTTTAAGCTTCATTTTTCATATGTAACTTTACAGTTACCTATTTTGTTGTTTTTTTCTTCGATATTTTACCATAACTCTAATACAGGGAGCCAGGTTCTAGATTCCGAACCTATTTAAAGGAGCAAAATATCATGTTTATCTTCTATTAACTTTAACTATCAGTTGAAGGTTGAAGTCTTATAATGATAATGCATGTCAAGATGAAAATGTGTACATTTTTAAAAATTTAGATTTTATTGACTTTCAGTGATATTCTTAAACTTCGTCTATGTTTTGTTGCTATTTCTGTTCTTATTGTTTTCTTTTAGGAAAATAAAATTAATCTTGGTTTTCCAGGCAGAAAGTAGCTATGGAAACTAATAATGTGTAATAAAATACCAAATAACTTTCTAAAAATGTTTTTATTTGTTTAGACTATTCTATAAACACAAGTTTTTTTTTCTCCACCATAGGACAAAATACGAACAGAAAGTTACCGAGATTTTATATACCAAAATCCACATATCTTCAAAGACAAAGTGAGTGTTATAGGCTACAGAATTGTACATTTCATGCAGATGTTGGCCAGTAGAAATCCTCTCTTGAGTTATTGTGATAGCCATTGATTTAGTGTACTCCGGCTTTATTTCATGGGAGACTTTTATGATGTTGCTCTGTGGTGCAGAATACTGATAACAGAAATGCTGATTGGTACTGTTGTCATTCAGTATACAGACAATCCTCGGGTTACTTTGGACTCGATGTACATCGTTTCATGGTTATGTCACCATCTCCCATTTATTTATTAAAAAAGTTTCGTCATTTCAACGTATGTACATATGTGCTTTAAGTTTTTTATTATTTATTTACCACAAGTAAAGGTCAGGAATTGTTATCTTCCTTTTAATTTTTTTTTTACTGTTTCACTTCATTACCGCTTTGTATGTGCTCCATGTGAGTGATGTAGGTGCTTATGTAGGTGGGTTCCGACATATGGCGAAAGTTAAGTTGCACCGTAGGAACGGATCTCTGTAACCCAAGGACCTACTGTATTCTTTTTTTTAACTGAAATCATTAATTACAGTGACATAGCTTAGTTAAACTTTGGTTATCCAGATAATATTGCTTAAACCATATTTTTTATTTACTGTGCTTCTTGTGAATTTCAAATATCTGATAAACCCCATACCAAAGCACACTTTTCATTAATATTCCAGTTTGTTATTTAGTTAAAAATTAATAATCTTACGAAGTTACTGGTATGTAGGGACAAATAATGTAAGGTAGAATTTATATTATGTGCTTTCTTTTAAGATTTCATTTATTTGCTCCTTTGTGTGAGGCACTTTAAATTTTACAATTAATCTTCATACTGCCTCAGTTTATTTCAAAGATGATCTTTCACACTGTGTGTTTATGTTTGAAATTTGTATAATTTGTTTTTCCTCGTGAATTTTTTAAAATATATTTTTACTGATTTCAGAGAGCAAGAGAAAGGGAGAGAGAGACAGAAACATCAGCGATGAGAGACAATCATTGATCATTGATCAGCTACCTCCCCCATGCCCCCTTTTGGGGATCAAGCCTGCAACCTGGGCATGTGTCCTGACAGGGAATCGAACTGTGACCTCCTGATTCATAGGTTGATGCTCGACCACTGAGCCATGTCCGCTGAGGAAGACAGAATTTTTTAATAGTTTTTCTGTTTACATGCAAGTGCTGGAAAAATTTTATTTAATATATGTGTCTAAAAAAACCACTTCGGCCCAGCCTTTGTGGCTCAGTGATTGAGTGTTGACCTATGAATGGTTCAATTCCCAGTCAGGGCATATGCCTGGGTGGGGTGCCAGCTCCATCCCCAGTAGGGGGCATGCATGAGGTAACCAATCAATGATTCTCATTGATGTATCTATCTCTCTATTCCTCTCCCTTCCTCTCTGAAATCAATTAAAACACTTTATTTTTAGTGAAGCAGTTATGTTACCATTAGAAATTTTGCTTTATATTTATAGTTAGATTATGCTCAGATTTTAATTTTATTTTTTTTTCTTAATATGTGAACATAGAAATTAAGCATGTACTGGTCTGGGAATCACTAGTCTTGCCTGGCTTCTCAGGAACTAGCTATTTAATAATTTTAAAGAAGTGGTGAGTGTTTTTGAACCTCATCTGTAAAATGATTTTTAAAGCCCTTTTGGTCCTAAAATTATATTATTTTTGTTATAATAAAAGCACCATCATTGTCTCTCTTTGACTTATCTTTTCTTAATACTTTTTTTTTTTACATATATTTTATTGATTTTTTTACAGAGAGGAAGGGAGAGGGATAGAGAGTTAGAAAGATCGATGAGAGAGAAACATCGATCACACTCCTGCACACTCCCTATTGGGGATGTGCCCGCAACCAAGGTACATGCCCTTGACCAGAATAGAACCTGGGACCCTTGGGTCCGCAGGCCGACGCTCTATCCACTGAGCCAAACCGGTTAGAGCTTTGATACTTTTTGATATGTATATATAACATAAGAACTTAAGTGAAGGTAAGTTAGGATCACAAGATTAAACACTGAAAAATTACGTAACTACGAATATTTCTATGTATATGGAGCACATCTTACTGGGTTCATAGACCTTATACACACTCACTTCCTGCTGCTTGTTTTTTTATTTGTAATAGTATTATAGGAATGTTGTATATATTATATATATTTTCAGACAAAATACATGACTGAGGAAAACGTAGAATGTTTATTGCTATCTTGTGTTCTGTTTGCTGCTCTTATTGAAGATAAATCTGCCAAAGTCAGAAAAGGGCTTATTAATAAGTTGGGAGTATATTTCTTTCATTCTTTGCTTAAGATGCTTTTATTTAACTTATTGATGTGCAATTAGTTTTGCTTGGCATTTATGGTTTCTCAAAAATATACTATAATGTAAAATATTACATGCATCAATTTCTAACTTCTTAAAGCACATTCAAGGGATGATTTTATGTAATTAAAAATATTACATCTAGGGCTTTCATATTTTTCAATGATTTGGGATACTTTTCTATTATACTATGGGTACAGATTTAGAAAATATACTACCGTATATTTAATTAGCATTTGCTAATTTATAGGTTACTTTCAAACATGTTGCCTCATTGTTTTATACAGTATTCCATTTACCTCCATTTCACACATGAGGAATCTTGACGCCAATGGGGTAATTGACTTTCCTAAAATAGGCCATTAAAAATAAACAAACATGAAGTGTTTTAGTCCTAGTCTAGTGCCCTTACCCTATGCCACTACACTTTAGTACCATTTTGTTGAAATAGAATGAGTAATTAGGGTGGCATTCATTAGTTATATTTTAAGTCACACTATTTTTTATATAAGTCATATAGTTTCTGTTCAAGAAATTACTTAAATATAATTCTTTTAAAATGTATAATATAGAGCTCTCCTAAGTTTTATTACCATTGTTTTTGTTTGCTTTATCTCCATTAGGTAGACAAACTTTATTTTCACAACACTAGCTTCTATATCATATTACACTAGGGGCCCAGTGCATGAATTCGTGCACCTTGAAAGAAACTGTGGGCGCGAGGCTGCAGTGGGCTCAGGGGTGGGGTCTTGGCCCATGCTCCATGCTCCCACCCAGCCCCTCCCACCATGGCCCCCGATCCCCTGTCTGCCCCAGCCCCACTTCCGCCACCGCCGCTCCCACATGCTGACGGCGCCAGCCCCAGTCACACCCGCTGACAGCGTGGAGCCATTGGGGCCAGTGCCAGGCGTGGGTGCGAGCGGGGCCAGTGCCATCAGCTGGTGTGAGTGGTGGCTGCTGCTCCGATCGCCCCTCAGGAGCAGGGGGAGATGGAGAAGCCCTGAGGAGCGATCAGAGTCAGCAGCCACAGCTCGCACCCGCTGACAGCAGCATGGGCAAGCACCCTGTGGGACCGTGGCATGCAAGAGCAAAGAATTTTCAGTAACCACCAGAGGCTCACCCCGATGACAGCAACCAGCACCCCACCTTGGTCTGGCATCCCCACTCACCTGCTCCACCATCCCACCACGGTCAATGCCCGCCATGTTCTGTGCGTGCCCCCTGGTGGTCAGCACATGTCATAGAAACCGGTTCGGTTGCTCTGCCATTCAGTCTATTTGCACATTAGGGTTTTATATATATATAGATAGTGCAAGAAGAGATTTATTTTTCAAAAAAATGTTATACTTAAAAATGTGTTCCTTCTTCCTTTCCTTCCCTTCTCTGTCCATCCCTCCCTTCCTGCCACTTTCCCTTCATTCCTTTCTTAATATTGTTTCAGTTCACAGCTCCTGTGGAGGCCATATGGTTTCTCAGATTTAATTTAACTTTGGGTGGCATTTAATTGTGTTATCACCCATTTGTAATTAATTCCATTTGTGGTCCATTGAAAAAATTCACAGTGAGGTGCCTCCTTTATGCTTTTAATTATTACCTACAGTTAAAATTCACTTTTTTCTTTCTTTTTTTTTAGAAAAAGTGAATCAAATTCCTCCATGATTTTATGTGTTAGTTTATTCTGTTATCATTTGTACCTCTTTGATTCTATCAAGTTTTAGTTTATTTCCTCCCTTATCTAATTCCCAGCTAGATATAATAAGCTAGAGGCCTGGTGCATGGATTCGTGCACCGGTGGGGTCCCTCGGCCTGGCCTGTGCCCTCTCACAATCCAAGACCCCTCCAGGGATGTCGGATACCAGGTTTCAGCCTGATCCCCATAGGCCTGATCCTTGCAGGCCCAATTCCCGAAGGCCTGATCTAGACAGGAGGGAGCCCGATTCTGCGCGGTGAACATCTGCCTCCTGGTGGTCAGTGCATGTCATAGCCACCGTTTGACTGGTCATTTGGTCTCTTAGGCTTTTAGATAGATAGATAGATAGATAGATAGATAGATAGATAGATAGATAATTAAGATACAATTAAAAATATAATTTAAAATACTGTAGGCTTTAGAAACAGGTTGACCTATGTTTGAATGCTAGCTTTACAAATTACCAGCTGCATGATCCTGGACCTGTTTCTTTCCCTCTCTGAAGTTCACTTTCCTCATTTACAAAATGAGGATTAAATAAGAATTATATGTATATATGCATATATATTGTGTGTGTGTGTGTGTGTGTGTGTGTGTGTGTGTGATAGTCTTGCAAAAGAATACAAACTCTAATTGGAGTGTATAATACATATCCTTTTGTACTTAGCTTTCATCACTAAGCAGTTTTTCTTAGAGGTAATTCTTTTTTTTAAATCCTCACCAGAGGATATGTTTTTATTGATTTTTAGAGAGACAGGAAAGGAAAGAGAGAGAGAGAGAGAGCCTCTTTTATAAATTTACTAATCCCATTCATAAGGGCTCTGTCCTCATGACCTAATCACCTTCTAAAGGCCCTAGCTTCTCATACCACCACCTTGGGGTTTAGGATTTCAATATGTAAATTTTGGTGGTGGGAGGAATGGCATACACAAACATTCAGACTATAGCAACCATATGTCAAATCAGTAGGGGAAACAGGCTCTTTAATAACATGTTGGGATAATTGGTTAGCCTTCTGAACAGAAGTAATTTTGGAACCATACCTCAGCGTATACCATGATAAGAAAACAAACTATTAATGAAACCATAAATGTACTAGAAGGAAATGTATAAGGATGAAATAGGAGAGAACATGGGAAAGATCATTCTAATTATGATCAAAATCCAGAATTCATAAAAGAAGAGTAATGAGTTTGACTGTTAGTAAAGAATTTCTTCATAGCAAAAAATCACTGTAAGCAGAATCAAAAACAAATATATGCTGAGCACAACCATTGCAAGTCATGTTGTAGAAGTATAATCTCCTTGATTTACAAAGAACTCTTATTTGATAAGACTTGGTAAGAAATATTTGATTAGAAAATTGATAAGAAAAGGACTAGTAACTCAGTGGAACAATGGAGAAAGGATATAAGTAGATAGTTCACATAATAAAGAACTACAGATGGCACTACAATATATAGAATGATGCTAAACTCCACAGTAATGGAAATTATGATCTCATTATTTTGCATTTGCCAGATTGGCAGAATACAAAAGTTTATCTGTTCCATGGGCTAGTCTCACCTATGAGGAAATGGGCACTTAGACATTGCTGGTTGGAGTCTTCATGAGTAGAATTGCCCTGTGATGGGGCAATTTGGTTATGGTAAGCAGGGTTTTAAATATATATATACTCTCTGACAATATTTTCACTTCTAGAAATATATTCTATAGATTTACTCATGTGTGAATGGGGTTAGATATGAGGTTACTTACAGCATTGTCATAGTAAAATTTCAAAAGCTATTCAAATGCCCCATTAATAGAGAACTAGATTAGTAGATTATGTTACCGCCATAATATGGAGTCCAGTTACATAAGAGATGTTCTGTAAAGTGATATGCAAAGATTGTTAAATTAAAAAAAAGCAATATGTAGCACAATGGGCATAATATGCTTCCATTTGTAAAAAGGGGAAACAAAGACATTGCATTGTATATGCATAAAAATTCTCTATTACTTTTACAAATGATAATGAGTATCATTTTTAAAACTTAAATTCTCAAGTTACTGAATTCTAGATGTTAACTTGTTTTTATTGTAACTGTATTATTAAAATGAGTTCAATATTTAATTTTGGAAATGGAGGGGTTGTGTGATATTTTATATCCGTGACTAGAGGCCTGGTGCACGAATTCGTGTACCAGTGGTTTCCTCGGCCTGGCCTGTGGGATCGGGCCAAAACAGGCTCTCCAACATCCCCCAAGGGGTCCCGGATTGCGAGAGTGCATGATCAGGGCCAGGGAGAGATGTGGGAGGTTGGTTAGCCAGGGAGGGACCGCGGAAGGGTTCCAGGGCATGTCCAGTCCGTCTCGCTCAGTCCTGATCAGCTGGACCCCAGCAGCAAGCTAACCTACTGGTCGGAGCATCTGCCCCCCTGGTGGTTAGTGCACGTTATAGTGACTGATCGACTGGCCCCTGGTGGTCAGTTCACATCATAGCAACTGGTCGACCGGTCGACTGTCTGCCCCCTGGTTGTCAGTGCACGTCATAGCAAGCGGTTGAGTGGCTTTAGCATATCATTAGCATATTATGCTTTGATTCGTTGAGTGGCCAACTGGTTGACCAGACACTTAGCATATTAGGCTTTTATTATATAGGATTTTTGTGACCATTTTTAATTCTGTTGAATCAGGCTATCATGCTTAAGTTAATTCCTGCCATTCAAACTTGAGATAGTTTATTTCTGTTAAATTACTAAACCCAAATTAGTGCATGCATATAATAAGGAAATTAAAAGCAAGATACTTTTCTATTCAGAAGTCTGTGGAAGTTACTTATTTCATATAAAACACCTCTTAAATTTACATTGTTGTGTCTGATTGCAACAGACTATGGCCAGATACACTGTTACGAATGTAAAACAACCCATTTTAATGATATCCTTAGAAATTACCATATTTGGTAAAGTTTTAAAATTTAATGATCAATTCCTAGTCAGAAATGACATACTATATAAATAGAATTTAAAATATTAGATCTTTTCAATAACATCTGTTTGTTTGTTTTTTAATTTTTATCACACTAGGTAGTTTTGGATGTTGGTTGTGGAACTGGAATTCTCTCTATGTTTGCTGCTAAAGCTGGGGCAAAGAAGGTTCTTGGAGTTGATCAATCTGAAATCCTTTACCAGGCAATGGATATCATAAGGTAGATGCATTTTAAAGGTTGGCTTAAGATTATTTTTAAGTTCGATGATTAACAGGTTTTCTTGTCTTTAGTAGCTGTCTAATGCAGACTCAAGACATTTATCTTTTAGTAAAAATTTATTCCAGAATAATAAGATTTTAAGTTGAGCTAGACATGTGTGATCTATGAATAATCTTTTCACTGTTCTCATTGATGAAAATTATTTTTTTTTAATACATTTTATTGATTTTTTACAGAGAGGAAGGGAGAGGGATAGAGAGTTAGAAACATCGATGAGAGAGAAACATCGATCAGCTGCCTCCTGCACACCCCCTATTGGAGATGTGCCCGCAACCAATGTACATGCCCTTGACCGGAATCGAACTTGGGACCCTTTAGTCGAACTTGGGACCCTTTAGTCCACAGGCCGACGCTCTATCCACTGAGCCAAAGTAATCAGGGCGATGAAAGTTATTTTTATTTAACTTTCTGTCTTGGCTATATGTATGCTAATCTATAATAATAAAAGCATAATATGCTAATTAGACTGGACGTCCTTCCAGATGTCCTTCTGGATGAAGCCAATGGCTGGAGAGAAGCCTGGATCCTGGGTGCCTGCTGGCAACCAGAGGGAAACCTGGGTTCTGGGTGCCAGAGAGAAGTCAGTGCTGGCAGCCTGGGGAAGGAAGACCTACTCTTGCATTATTTTTGTACATCAGACCTCTAGTTATAACATAAAATTAGAAGTAATTTGCATACATGATAATATTGTTAGAGGACTCTACAGAACTAAATATTCATATCAGTAATATTTCCGTTAATAAACAGCAATTAAGGGTATCCCTAAGGGTATCCTTTTCTTTTTGATGGTATTAGATTCCTTCACATTAAAATATGTAAATTCCAAAATGGCTACAAACACAGTAGAGTGGATTTAATTTTTCCTCTAAAACTTAATTTTGGCCGAAACCGGTTTGGCTCAGTGGATAGAGCGTCGGCCTGCGGACTGAAAGGTCCCAGGTTCGATTCCGGTCAAGGGCATGTACCTGGGTTGCGGGCATATCCCCAGTAGGAGATGTGCAGGAGGCAGCTGATCGATGTTTCTCTCTCATCGATGTTTCTAACTCTCTATCTCTCTCCCTTCCTCTCTGTAAAAAATCAATAAAATATATTTTAAAAAAAAACAAACTTAATTTTGTTCTCTAAAAATATTTCCTCTCTTTGAGGAGGTTAGTTAGGTGATTGATTTTACGATTGGCTTATGTCCTAATAAAAAGACCCTTATTTGAACTACAGCATGTAGAACTAGATTTCTTTAGCTATGTACTTAACAAAAGCACCTTACATTTGGAACTTACAAGTAATTTTCAGGATAAATAAGTAATAGGAGGCCCCGTAGCTATTCTTTTTTTGCCCAACTTTATTGAGAATTGACACACAGCGCTGTGTAGGTTTGAGGTATACAGTGTGTTGCTTTGATACATTTATGTATTGCAAAATGATTATACCATAGCATTATCCAATTACCCCCATTGTGTCACATACCTACCATTTCTCTTTTGTGGTGATAACATTTAAGATCTACTCTCTTAGGAAGCTTAAGTACTTAATGCTGTAATCACCATGCTGCACTGTACCTTAGACCTCCAACAGCGATTCTTAAATGATCTTCACTGATACTTATGTTCTTTTTTTAAAATTGAATAACATTTGTCTTTTCTGGGTAGTATAACATTTAAATATGATTATGTAAAATGTTTAAATTTTTGGATTTTATGTCATGATATAAAAGTATAGATTTGCGGTTAAGAACACATGGATTGAGTCAGGCTTGGATTCAAGTTCTTGCTCTACCATTTGAACTTTGATTACATTATATGTAACCTTTTTGAAATATTGTTTCACTGTCAAAATGAAAATAATAATGACTACTTCATCTGGTTAGGAATAAGGTAAATAAGTTATGAATGAAGTGTACATACAAATTTTTGGCATACTCCCTGGCACGTAGTAGGTATTCAAAAGTTAGCTACTATTACTGTTAATTAACAAGTGCCAAATTAATGTTAATGAAAAAAACTATATTGATCTTGCTTAGATTATTCATTGATATAGGTTTGTGGTTATGATTTTCATTTTGGAGAATATGCATATACATATGTAGTTATTTATATATTTACATGTGAGTATATATATATATGTGTGTGTGTGTGTGTAGATATATATGTATGTATATATATATATATATATATATATATATATATATATGCAGTTCATAATTCAGTAAAAAAATTTTTCTAGTTCTTCTACTACCATTTAGTATAACATCATCATTTTGGGGAGGGCCATAAAGAGCATCCTCGCTTGCTTGTGCATTGCTATCCAAACAATATGAGTACCGTGTCCCAAAGAAGAGGTTGTTTTAGAGGATTACCAAAAATGTATTGTTGATAATAAGATTATGGTAAGAATTCCTATTATAAGTTCTCATTTTATGAAAGACCGTGTCTATGTGTTAATTTGTCATTTTTTATTTCTATAATGCAAAACCAGATGTGCTCTCATTTTAATTTCTTTATGGAAGAAAAGAAAAAGAATAGTGATAACACTCATTTTATTTTATATTGTTTTGTTCCACTTTGTTTCACTCTCCTTATTTGTAATGGAGCCAGTGTTAGATCCCAGACAGCCTGTTCCCACAGTCCATCTTCATAGTCAATTTGTTGCTTTCAATAGTTTGATTTTACTTAGAACTTATAGACTTTGAAAATCACGCCTTTTTGTTTGGATAAGTCAACATTGTACTGTTTCTTCAGCAATGTTCTCCTTTGTTTCTTATGTTGTGGAAAGATAGCTATTTCCATTGTGTTCATAAGCATCTCTTTGTCTTCCATTCAAAAACTTGAAATTTACACTAATTAACATTTGGTATTCTGTTTGCGAATGCATCTGTAAAAGAATATGCAGGAAACAGTTTATTATTAATATCACCACGATATACTGGCCCATTATTCTACCATTTTAGGAGGCAGCATAGCATATTTCTCTCAGCATCTGGAATCACATGACTTAATTTCTAATTTTGGCTTTTTCACTTACTAGCTTTATAATAATGGGCAAATTACTTCTTCAAATCCTGGTTCCTTCATTTATAAAGTTCATGGTAGTATCTCTCATAAGATTCTTATAAAGATTAAATCCATTCCCTTATACTATAAAATTTTAAACTTTAGCCAGTTTTATTCTGTACTCACTCTCCTCCCTTGAAATCTGCTCTCAAAGTCTCTTACAGTTGTCTATTATTGCATACTACAGACCCGGTGCATGAAATTTGTGTGGGGCGGGGGGTCCTTCAGCAAGGCCTACACCCTCTCGCAATCTGGGGCCCCTTGTAGGGATCGGGCCTAAACCGGCAGTCAGACAACCCTCTTGCAATCCAAGACCGCTGGCTCTTAACCTCTGGCCTGCCTGCCTGCCTGCCTACATGGTCACCCCTAACCACTCAGACTGCCTGCCTCATCGCTCCTAACCACTCGCCTGCCTGCCTCATCTCCCCTAACCCCTCTGCCTGCCTGCCTGATCATCCCCCAACTGCTCGCCTGCCTGCCTGATTGCCCCTAACCTCTCTGCCTGCCTGCCTGATCACCCCTAACCGCCTCTGCCTGCCTGCCTGATAGCCCCTAACTGCCTCTGCCTTGGCCCCCGCCCGCCTCTGCCTTGGCCCCCGCTGCCGCGGCTTTGTCCGGAAGGTCATCCAGAATGATGTCCGGAAGGTCATTTGGCTGTCCAGTCTAATTAGCATATTATGCTTTTATTATTATAGATTGTAGCTTCCTAGAACTACCATCATTCAGTGAAAACAGCTCTTCCAGTTAGCAGACTGTGAGTTGTCTTTAGCTCTTCTGAAGCTTCTTTCTCTGTCAGAAATCTGTACAGAGCAGAATTTCAATAAAACTCCATATGGTTACATCTTTAAAAACACTTGACATGCTAAAAGGTGGATACTTTTTAAATGCATTTTTCATTATTCTTTTAAAAGTATTCCATTTACAATCCTTGAATTGTGTTCAAAATCATTTTTATCACTTTTCTCTGTTTAGAAAAGAGATCTAACATCTCTAAAGAAATGAGTTTAGAATGGAGTAAGTTTTGTTTTTTTAATAAACTGATATATATATATATACATATATATGTATGTATATATCTTAGGGCTTATATGTATAGTATGTATTAAATATAAATAAAAAGAAGAAGGTAAGACTTATAGTTCTGAGGTGGCAGACATGTATAAAGAAGAATATAGATGTTCAAAGGTGTTATATTAGCAGGACCAAATAGAACTCAATGTGATACACAGAAGGAATGAGAAATTGTTTTTTATTCTTGCTGTCATAGTTGGAACTCTGCAGTGAATGATCATTTCAGAAACATAAACTTACCTAAGGATAGCAAAGCCATTCAATCGCCAGATAATTGTACATTTTCACGCTCAGGAAGCAGAGGTAGCTTCTGGTAATATTTTTAGTATTATTTTGGTTGTTTTTCATCAGCTCTGTCATGGACTTGCTCATTCAGACTTTTGAATGTTATTGCAGAGGAGTTTTCGTAAGAAGGTTGATCTATCATGTAGCTGCAATGCAGTATTTTCAATCTCAGTATGACATTAAAGATGAAATATTTTATATTGCCTGTGTCTAGGATACTGTTAGAAATGAAACATTAAGAAAAGCCAAGAGAATATTTTGATCTGTTGTTATGCTTATGTGTCCTTCTTTAGTTTCTAGGATAGGAGCTTTATCTTCTTAATCTTTTTATCCCTAACACCTAGCAAATTGATACATGCTAGATGGTGAGTAAAGGCTTTTTAGAAAAATAAAGTAACAATATAATGATTTAAAGAGTTGTGATATTATATATATGTGTGTGTGTGTGTGTGTGTTTGTGTGTGTATATATATATATATATGTGTATATATATATATATATATATATATGATGGGGAACAAGATACCAAAATATATCAGGATAAAATTCTTTTTTTTTTTTTAATATATTTTATTGATTTTTTTACAGAGAGGAAGGGAGAGAGATAGAGAGTTAGAAACATCGATGAGAGAGAAACATCGATCAGCCACCTCCTGCACATCTCCTACTGGGGATGTGCCCGCAACCCAGGTACATGCCCTTGACCGGAATCGAACCTGGGACCTTTCAGTCTGCAGGCTGATGCTCTATCCACTGAGCCAAACCGGTTTCGGCAAGGATAAAATTCTTAAAGTAAGGGATGTTCCTTTATATTTTGTTTCTAAATTTATTTTTTTAAATATTTTTAATATATTTTTATTAATTTCAGGGAGGAAGGTAGAGGGAGAGAGAGATAGAAATATCAATGATGAGAGAGAATCATTGATTGGCTGCCTCTTGCACGCTCCCCAGTGGGGATTGAGCACGCAACCTGGGCATGTGCCCTTGACCTGAATCGAACCTGGGACCCTTGAGTCCGCAGGTCGACGCTCTATCCACTGAGCCAAACCAGCTAGGGCTTTGTTTCTAAATTTAATAGAAATTACAGAAAAGTCAGTTTAAACTGAACAGAATTTTGAACCACTGATGAGGCTAAAATGACAGAAATATTTTGCTGCTCAGAAGACACAGATTTCTAATGAAGGTTGCCAAGGCACCTTACAGGGAAGCTAAAATCATTTCTTCTCCCACCCTACCAACTCCTTAATGTCCTGTCCACTCAGTGGTCCTGTCTTGGGGGGTCCCATGACTACTTAACTAGTTCAGTGGCTCCCTAGAAGAACTCAGTGACTCAATATAAAGTTGTATTCACAGCTGAGATTTATTACAGCAAAGGATATAGTCCAGGGGCAGCAAGAAAAGGGGAGCCATCACGAAAGAGGTCATGTACAGGCTCCCAAGTAATCCCTCTTTCTCTGTAAGAGTACAGATATACTTTTCTCTGTACCTGTGAATTTCAGAGGTACTTGTAAGATGTCTCTTCCCAAGGAAGTTGGCTTGAGTTTTAGAGTTCATAGTTTTCAAAGGGCTGGTCACATAGGCAGCACATACTTGTTTTGTGACCAGTCGTAGTGTAAATCCATGTCAGATACCAGGTGCACATCAGGAATCTTCATGTTTACTTTAAATATGCTGTCATCCTAGTTTATCTTGGTTCATGGCTTCAGGTATATGGAATAGATAGCACCATTACCCAATAACTGTGTGAATGCCTTAATTCACATTTTTACATTTCCCACCTGAATTAATGCATCTGCATGTAACTGACTCAGTTATTTGTTCTTTGTCTTTGCCTTCCATAGCTCTCTGTCATTCATTCTCTCTAGTGGAGCCAATTTTACTTCCCTACCCAATTCTCCTCCCTTTTAAGTTAAAGAAAGGGGAGATGTTTTTATGTTAAGAAGACATAAGAGGGGATAGAGAAGAACTGACAGTTATCTATGATCTTCTTATGAGATAGGAAAGTGTTGATTTTTCTAACAAATTTACACTAAAAAATTAGTAATTTCTTTGCCTGTTGGATTAGTTAAGAGATTTACTTAAGGTACCTTTTTTTATTGCAATGTCATATTTCTATAGATTAAAGCTATGGTAGTATTTGAGCAGGTGTTTCCAGAGATAGAATTCATTTAGAATGTTTTTATGCTAAAGTAAGGTTTAGTGAGGAGCTGCTTGAGAACAGTAAGTAAAATCTATAGTTTTTTTCATGAATGAGATATTAGATGGTGATTAAGGTAAATAGTCTCATGAAAGAGGTTATCTATGTAAATAATATCTGTATTAAGCTATTTAGTACAGAATTACTGGGAATTATGGCCTTTGTCATTTATTTTCTGTGTATTCCCTGAAATCTTAATCTTTCCCGCTATATTTATATTTGAACAAGTAATTACTGATGCAAATAGGATTATGACTTGTAGGAGACAATAAACAGCCTGAGCAGATGGCCTCTTACAGAGCACATCTTGTTTCTGCATAAGCATTCTGAAGATATTTTTAGGCAATGGGAAAAATTTTCTCTTTTAAGAAGCTTGCTTTTGTTTTCTTTGAAGTGTTTGTAACTGTTAAAGCCTTATTAAATGTTTCAGTCAATAGTATGCAATTGTAGCAATTTTGTCAGAAAGAATTATATGAAATATTCCCTTGAAAAAACTTAAATATGATATAGGCATCCTTTTTTTAACTTTTGTGTGAAATATAACACACATTAAGTGTATGAAACATAAAAATATGTTATAATATTCATAACTAACAAGAACTATAATGAATCTATTTTATTTTAGAATCCCACCCACCTCCATTTCACTATACATAAATCTGACAAGGTTTTTATCCAGAACATGTAAAGAACTCTTTAAAACTAAATAATAATGTTACAACTGAACCGAGTTTTAAAATGGGCAAAAAATTTGCACAAAGACAGTACAGGAAAATGACCATTTAGCATATTAAAAATATGTTTGGTCATTAGGAAAATGCAATGGTGAAATCTCACCATGCAGTTACATTTAAAATATTAATAATGCTAAATGTTGACAAGGATTTGAATAACCATGAATGCACATATATTGTTGGTGGGAATGTAAAATTGTACATGCACTTTTTAAAACAAATTGGCAGTTTCTTTAAAATATTAGTTATACACTGCCATTCGATAGGGCAATTCTACTTGCACACAAATATTTATAGCAGCTTTATTCTTTATAGCTCAAAGCTGGAGACAGTCCAGAATTCCATTCACAGTGGTGTGGATAAATAAAATTGTATTTTATCATGCAGTGACATACTACTCACCAATAACAAAGAATGAGCTACTTATATACACAAAAATATGTATGAATCTAAAAGGTATGCCTGTTGAAAGAAACCAGACACAAAAGGATACATTCAGTATGATTCCATTGATATGAAACTCCTCAAAATACAAAACTAAGATATAATGGAAGGGAAGAAAATCGGTAGTTGCCTGTAGATAGGAAGATTTTCTGGGAAGGAGCACCTATGAATCTTTTTGAGGAGATAGAAATGTTCTATATATTGATGATGATGGAGGCCACCCAAGTATCTCAGTTTTAAAATTCAACAAAATTTACCCTTACAATGAATGTATTTTATGTTAAAAATACCTCAATGAAGTTGAGATGGGAAATTCCTTTTTGTTAGCAGGAAAAAGAATCCTTTATAATTGACATATACGTCCTTTGATGATTAAGAATTTATTTAACTAGTTATCAATTTAGTAGCTTGCTTTTAGCATTTTGATATGATCTCTTTAACTCCGTTACTTATTTCATATTACAAAAGAGAGGGTGAAAAGTCTGTGCTAATATTATGATCAAACATGTAAAAATACCAAATGAATGTCATTGGACAAAATTAATTTATGATTGGAGCACAATTTCAAGTTTTATACAGCATACATCACATTGTTATTATGATGATATCATTACCATTATGTAGTGCTTGAAGATATATATAGCTTTCAGAAATATTTGGTTCTCATAGTAAGTCGTGACATGGATAGGCAGGTATCATTATTCTCTTTTACACATGAGCACATAGGCTCTGTGAGGTTATTATAATTCGCTGAAGATCACTTAGCTGACAAGTGCTAGAGAATCTGGGATTCAAAGTAAGGGCTTCTGGCTTCTAATTCTCTCTTCAATATGACACACTTCCCTTTAAAACATACTTTTGTTGGCTAGTCAGTCTGTCTCCACCCCTCCCTTAAACAAAAGACCTAGTAACTTTATTGACATATATTCTCGATAAAATTAGAATTTCTTTTCAGGATGAAGTTTTTTTTAAGTCCTCACCCAAGGATATGTTTTTATTGATTTTTAGAAAGAGAAGAAGGGAGAGGAGAGAGAGAGAGAGAGAGAGAGAGAGAGAGAGAGAGAGAGAGAGAGAGATATCAAGGCATCAATCGGTTGCCTCCCATACCACCAGAAAGCTAGGTATGTGCCTTGACCATGTGCCCTGACTGGAAATCAAACCCACAACCTCTTGGTGTAGGGGACAACGCTCCAACCAACTGAGGCACCCGGCCAGGGCTCAGGATGAAGTTTTAAATATTGGTTCACTGTATTGCATTATTAACTAACAATAATCCTGGGCATTCATGAAGTGACCAAAAAGTAATTATATGCCCAGGAAATAAACTTTGAATATACTTTCAGTTCCACAAAATAATTTGAAAAGTTGTCAAGAAATTATGTAATTTAACTAGTTTTCAGAATCTGTTTAACATACTAATTTAATTCATTATGGTAATTTTCAGACTAAATAAACTTGAAGATACTATCATACTAATTAAAGGAAAGATTGAAGAAGTTCATCTTCCTGTAGAAAAAGTGGATGTTATTATATCTGAGTGGATGGTAAGTATCGGTAGAAAAAGTGCTTTTATTGGTTTAAAAAACCCCAGTAAGATAGCAGTTTTCTGCATTTAATTTTATTTGATAAATGGTAGAATGGTGGCATTATTTTAAAAGCAGCTGTAATTTTTCTGTGGTACTTGATTCTGAAATAGCCCTTATTTACTGGCCATTCATAATCTTTTTTGAAAAAGCATAAATCAACTTTTTTTTTCTTTTTAAAGTCATAATAAAGAATTACTGTATTATTTTTCTACTTTCTAAGTTTTAGAGACCTAAATATGTTTGTGTAAAAGACTCCAAATACTAATAAGGACTTATTATAATTTACTTTTGAAATAAGTCAAAGCAGAATATTTATTTTTAAATGTGTAAAGTAAAACTAATGTTATTTGACAACTGATTTGACTTATTGATATGCCAATTCGACAAAGATAAGGTATATAGTATTTCTACATAGATAAAATTTTAATCATTTAGACAGTTTTAAACTTTTGTAAAAAACCATATTTGAGCCCTCGCCAGTTTGGCTCAGTGGATAGAACATTGGCCTGCAGACTGCAGGGTCCCAGGTTCAATTTTGGCCAAAGGCACATGCCTGGGTTGTGGGCTCAATCCCCAATGGGGGGATGTGCAGGAGGCAGCCGATCAATGATTCTCTCTCATCATTGATGTTTCTCTCTCTCCCTCTCCCCTCCTCTCTGAAATCAATAAAAGAAATATATTTAGAAAAAACAAAACAGCCCTAGCCAGTTTGGCTCAGTGGATAAGAGCGTTGGCCTGCGGAGTGAAGGGTCCCAGGTTCAGTTCTGGACAAGGGCACATGCCTAGGTTACAGGCTTGATCCCCAGTAGTGGGGTGCAGGAGGCAGCCAATCAATGATTCTCTCTCATCATTGATGTTTCTATCCCTCTCCCTTCCTCTCTAATATCAATAAAAATATGTTTTTAAAAAAAGACGCACACAATAACCAACAACTGTATTTGATACATATATTTTCATTAAATGAATTTATCAAAAAAATTAAAAATAATCTGTTTTATTTTATAATTATGGATAAGGGGCCTGTGGACTCAGTCTCCTCTCTCCTGCCCATCCTCCCCGCCGCCCTGCCAAAAAAAAAATTACACCACCACCATCTCCTGCCAGCACTACCACCAAGAAGCCGTTCCTCATTACCGCTGAAAATTTTGAATAAACATAATTTTAGCCAAATAGCTGGAGTTTCAGGGAGATTTTGAAATGTTCAGATTTAATGTAGTGTTAAGTTCCAATCTGGAGCCAGTGACAGTCATCATTGCTACTCTTTTGTACATGAAACAGTGTGTTGATTTTTTAATGCCTCTTAACCTCCTTTATAGTTTCTAATGTTTTGACTTTCTGGGCTGCACTCTGGATAATTTTTTTTCATTTTAGTCCACCAATTTACTAATTCTTTCTGAAGTTATTTCTTTTTTTCTTTAAAAAAAAAAAATTTATTGATTTCAGAGAGGAAGGCAGAGTGAGAGAGAGAAACATCAATGATGAGAGACAATCATTGATTGGCTGCCTCCTGCATGCCCCCCACTGGGGATTGAGCCCTCAACCTGGGCATGTGCCCTTGTCTAGAATTGAACCTGGGACACTTCAGTCCGCAGGCTGACACTCTATCCACTGACCCCAACCAGCTAGGGCTCTAAAGTTATTTCTAATAATTAGTTAAACTCATCCATTGAGTTTTTTATTTCAATTTCGTTTTAGGAATTTTTTTGGTTCTTTTAAAATTTTGCTCGCTTATTATTATTATCTTCAAGCTTCTTTTCATTTAATGAATCATAACATACTTATTTTACATTTTGTGTTTTTGATTGCAGTATTGGACATAGGACTGCTTTTGCTATTGTTTCTGTTGCCCCTCACTCATGGTGCTTTGTTCTTGTGTATTTTGAGTGTTTAGTACTCTTTAATGTTATGCTATCTATTTTCCAAGGAAATTATCTGTGGAAAATTTTTTGATGCCTGGGTTTTACCTTAAATGATTTGCACTCCCCCCCCCCCCCCCCCCATATTGCCATGTACCTGGGATAATGAATGATACAGTAAAGGCAAATGCCGGAAGCCGGTCCATCCTTGCTGCTTGACACAGTCGCTGCAGGAAAGAAACATCTGCACAGCATATGTTTCAAGGGACCTGGCGTATATAGCATACTGTTCTTAATATGTTTGCTCCCCTTAGCGCTGTGTGTTTTAACCAAGGTCACCTCTCCGAGAAAGGTTGTTTCCCCAGGTAGGAATTTTTCCCTGGAGTCAGGGAGGGGATGAAACTCCTTAACTAAGTGCCAGGCGGGTAGTTAATCACTACAAACAATCATGCTTAAGCTACATAATCTTTACTCCCTGGAATGGAGATAAGAAACACCCTAACCTTTGTAATAGAAATTGACAGGATTAAAATCAACTGGTATAAATACGGATGTAACAAGACAATAAACAGCAGAACTTCGCTGGAGATCCAGACCAGAACTTGGCTGGAGATCCTGGCTAGGCTGCTGATCAACTGAACACTGTCTCCGTGTCCTTCCTTCTTCGCCGACTCCGTCTACACCTTTGGGGACCCCTGGACCTGCTGGGGTTGGACCCCGGCAGGCAAAGCCATTGCATTTAATTTTAATATTATAAAAACAGTTGACTAAGGAACATTTTTAATGTAAAAAAATATAGAATGAATGTTTCAATGCACTTCATGCACTCATCATCTAACTTATTAGCATTTGCCCTTTTTTTGTTGTTTTATCTGTCTCCATGCTATTACCCTTTTCTTGCTATCTCTAACCAATAAGGACTTTTAAAATACATATATTCCTTATGCTATTGTGAAGCCTAACAAAATTATCAGTGTAGCCACAATTCCATGTTACATGAAAAATTCCTTAATATCTAGTATGTGTTCACATTTCCCTGATTGTTTCATGAATTTTATTTTGTTTTTACACTTCATTTTTTTGAATCAGGGTCTGAGTTAGGTCCACATATTGCATTTGATTATCTGTTTTATAAATTTTTATTTCAATTAAGCTTTTATTTGAGATAATTATAGATTATCACACGCAATTATAAGAAATAATACAGAGATCGCTTATACTCTTTACTCGTTTCTGTCAATGAGAATATCTTGAAAAATTATTACACAGTAGAGCAACCAGGATCTTAATATTGATACCATTGAGAAACAGAACAGTTCCATCCCTATAACGATCCCACCTGTTGTCCTTTTATGGCCACACCACCTACCTCTTCCAGTTCTCACCTTCATCTCTGGCAACCAGTAATCTGTTCTCAATTTCTATAATTTTGTCACGTAAAGAATGTGGTACAAAAGGAATCATGTATTATGTGAACTTTTGGGATTGGCTTTTTAAAATTAATATAATTCCTTGGAGATTCATCCAAATTATGGTACCTATCAATAGTATGTTCCTTATTTCTGAGTAGTATTCCATGATATGGATGCACCATGGCTTAACCATTTGACTTTTGAAGGATATCCAGTTTGGGGTTTTGTCTCCTGTTTTCCTATGTTCATTCACTAGGTTTAGCAAATGCTCTCAAGGTGAAAGCCAGCTTACTGATGCATCTAACAAGATGTTCTTTTTATTTCTTCTATCATATTTGTTGTACTTAGAGGATTATTAGCTCTTGAAATGCATTGTTGCTGGAAATGGAATGAGACCTTGTTCTTAAATTCTGAATCAGACTGTTAATGTTGTTCATCTTTTCTGTAGCCTTAAAAGTATATAATTTATAAGCATTATAGAATCACTCTGTTATATGTGGGTACCTTAACATCATTTTCTTTAATAAAGTGCTATCTAATAATGTAATGGTATTTTTAAGAGAATATCCGGTTATAATTAATGATTTTTATCAACCACCGTGGAGGTTGGGAATCCTACCTAATAAAGAGGGAATATGCTAATTGACCCTTACACCATTGCAAAGGTGGCACCCACAGTCGATTAGGAGGGAATATGCTAATTGACTGACCCGCCCTCAAAGATTGCAGTGCCCACAGCCACAAGATGGCCGGCAGGGGAGGGCAGTTGGGGGTGACCAGGCCTGCAGGGAAGGGCAGTTGTGGGCGACCGGGCCGGCAGGGGAGGGCAGTTGTGGGCGACCGGGCTGGCAGGGGAGGGCAGTTGTGGGCGACCGGGCTGGCAGGGGAGGGCAGTTCAGGGCGATCGAGCCGGCAGGGGAGCAGTTAGGCATTGATCAGCCTGCAGGCAGAAGTGGTTAGGGGCAGTCAGGCAGGCAGGCAGGCGAGCGGTTGGGAGCCAGCAGTCACAGATTGGAGAGGGTGAAGGCTGGGCTGAAGGACTGCCCCCCCCCCCCCCAGTGCACGAATTTCGTACACTGGGCCTCTAGTCCAATATAATGAAAGCCTAATATGCTAAGTGTTTGACCATTCATTTCACTGTTCGAACAGTCACTATGATGCGCACTGACCACCAGGGGGCAGACGCTCTGACCAGTAGGTTAGTTTGCTACTGGGGTCCAGCTGATTGGCCCTGGAGCCCTCCCGTGGCCCCTCTCCAGCTGGCCCCTGTCTCCCCGATTGGGACTGGGCTAGACGGGCCGGACATGCCCTGGATGAATCTGTGCGCCAGGCTAGTTGTTTTAGAAAAACAGATTCATCTTCTACCCTTGTCCTTGGGAACTGATTCTGTGATTCTGGAGTAAGGTCCACATGTACATTTGGAAAGATCTCCAGGTGATTTACTTTTTCTTTTTTGTAAACTTGCTGATTGGACAGTTAGCTTTGGGGAAAAGGGCTAATTTGACTGGTCAGTCTTTTGTTGATTAAGTGAGCCATCTAGTGGAGGAACGACTTAAACTAATAAATGTGTTTCAAACTCTTCGAAGAATATGCAGAGGAAATTAGCTCTTGTTCTGAGTTATGTTCTCCACAAGTCCATGCCATTGAAAAATGAGAACTGTATGTTGTAAGGGATGAGAGGAGGAAAAGG